GGTCGGGTATCTCCCATCTTTCGCGCGTTGAGTCTGTTATTCGTACTCTCAACCGGTCTCTGGTTTCGAAACTGCAATACTCACATTTTAATAATATTATATTAGTATTAATTAATAGTTAATGATTAAAAAACAAAAAACCAATAACGAGAAACTGATCTTAATCAGTATTAATTAATAGATTTTAAGACCCGATTTAAATAGTGAGATTGCTTTTAACCTTCCCTCGATTTTATATTTTACTTCGGTGAAACTAAAAAGTTAGTATTAGAATTCACTTACTTAAAATAAAGGTAAGAGATAAATGGGATAATTTGATGTAAAAACCTAAAATTTCAGCTAAAATGATATCAACTTTTTTAGAAACAAGTTTTTCTAACATTTTGTCAGTGTTGACGGCTATACAGTTTTGTCAAAGCGAATATAGCTCAACGATGATTCATATATATTTCTAATTAAGAAATTGTGAGTTCGATCTTCTCTCCACATGTTGCACTAAAAAATATAGTGAATGGAAGAGACAAGTGAGTGCAAAGAAGATGGGAGACCAAGAGAGCACGATCGAGAGCAATACAGAGTGAGAGATAGCGAGAAAGAGAATATATTTTTTTTGGAAGGGAATACAGGGAGAAGGGTGAGAGCGATAGAGCAAGAATTTTCACGAGTTCCCAACAGGATCATAAAAGTAATTCCGTGGATTGTTGGCAAAAGATAAAAAAAAAAACCTTATTAGATTTTCAATATATGAATTAAATTTACCTAATACAATTAGTTTAATCTACCTTTCGAGTTGAGTAATGATTTAATCCTCCCAACAAAACTCAATTAAGAAAAACTATACGTATTTCATTAATGCACGAATTTTTAGGTTAGTCTGTCAAAAAATTCAAGATAAATTTCCTTAAAAGAAAAAAGAAAATACAAGCAGGGAAAATACTAAAACAGGGGAAAAATACTTATATAACTCAGGGCTCAATCATTTTTATTTATTTATTTTTGGTACATAAATGAGAAATTATAGGTAAATTTTAAAATAAAATAAAAATAAGTAGTGTACGATTTACCTGGCTTGGAGGATGAGTGTGTGAACATCGGGTCCATAAACGGAGGAACTTCTGATGAGGTGAAGATCGGCGGTCAGCGACTTTCCGGCCGGATCAACGTCCACCGATCCAATTCGGTATCCATATCCGACGGCGACGGCGGCGGCCAACGGCAGAGATGCAGTGAGACGAAAGACGAAGCAGTTGAAAAGAAATACTAAGGCGGCCGGGAGAAGACGAAATGGCGTTCTTATGCCTCTCATTATTATTATTATTATGTGCTGCAACTGCAACTGCACCTTATTTTGTTATTTCTACTTGATATTTGGTTTATTTTTATTATAATTTTTAAGTTTAGTTTATTTAATTTTTCTGTAATTTCAAAACATTTATATTGATTTAATACAAAGTTATGTTTAAATTTTAAGAAATTCATTTTTGGAGTATTATTGATGAATCCTCTGTCTAACGATATTGAAGTAATTGCTTGCTAGTAAATTATAAAGTTAAGAGGCCTATATAGCGTCGAATTCAAATTATGATCTAAAAGATATATGTACATTAAATTAACCAAATTAGTCACAGGACGAAAGTTGAAAAGAAACGGGTGTTTTGAACAAAAATTTAAAGTAAATCAACCAAAATCGTGTTAAAATTTTTTTTAATCTAATAATTAAGTTATTAAAAGAAAGATTCCAGGTAATTTATAGGCAGAACTTCCTGTCCTTTAGTAATAGATATTTTATTTATTAAATATCATACATTGAAGAGATAAAAGACTCGATAAAAGTTTATAATATATATATAGACTAGTACTCCTCTTCTTCAACAATTAATTTTGAGATACAATGATGATATTATAGGTTTGTTAAGATTTAATTTCTGAGTAATGTGTTGTTTTCTTGAACACACGGCCAGGTGGCGAAACGTGGCAACATGTCACCCTCCAATTGTGCACATCAGCGAGAGGCAAACTGAAAAGTAGTGCCACCACTGCCACGTTTAAAAGATAAATTATACAAGCACTCCATCTGTCCTCAACTCCTTGTATTTGTGACATGAACATTTAGAGAATTCTCAATGGCAAAGTGTAATATGTGGACGAGAGAGTTGGCTAGATCAAGGAATGACGAAACACAACAATAAATTAGCCTGTGTTTCCAAGTTGGATTTAGAGGGTGGGTTTGTAATTTGGGCTTGTTTGGTGATGTAGGGGATGAAATGCGGGGAAAGTAGATATGATTGGGTGTAGACCAATTAGCCTTGATACATCCCAATTTTCCAAACCACGCACCAAAACATGACGACATTAGGAAACAACAGAGTCATACCATCCAAAGAAAAAGCTTGTTTAATTTTACTTCTCAAACTCAGCATTTACCATCTCATATATATATATATATATTTCTTCCCATCCCATCCAAAAGAACAAGAAAACATACATTAAAATTCCGAATTCCATGGCTTCTGAAGCAGCAGTGAAATCAGACGGCGGCGGCGAGTACAATGTCCATGTCCATGATGTGGCGGCTGCAAGGGCAAAGGCGAGGAACAGTCGATGGGGGTTGGTTGCGGTGAGGTTGGTGGCTTCCTTTGCCACGGCCTCCGCAACTCTCGTGATGGCTCTGAATAAGGAGACCAAATCTGTGGTTGTTGCCACCATTGGGACCGCCCCACTCACTGCCACTGTAGCCGCTCGCTTTCACCACACCCCCGCTTTTGTGTCAGTTTCCTCTCCTATCTCTTACCGTTCAAAAATTGATCATTCATTATTTAAAAAAGAAAAAAAATCTTTACTTGGACATTTATTTTATTATCAAATATCGAAGGATTGCCAGACAAGATTGTTTCGCTTTAGCTGCAAGCATAGTTTAAAGATAATCTAACCAAAAGGTCATAAGTTCGATCTCTCACTCTCACGCGTTGTCCCTTAACGTTCTAGTTTTTATTTTTATTTTCTCCTTTTTATAAGGAAAATTTTAGTTATTTATTTATTTTTCATTGAACAAAGAAAGAATCTTGATTTTGCCAATAAATTTATCTTTCATTTGATATTGATGTTTGCCTGTTTCTATTATTAGCAGCATTCTCCAAATTGCAGAGAAATTTTTAAAACACAAATAAGTATTTTTTTCCTCATTCCCGTTTTCAATCTATTTCAAAATATAAATAAAATTATTGCTTTATTCTTTTTTAATCCATTGACGTTAGGAAAATAGAAATAAAATCGTCACTAAATTAACTCGTTATTTATTTCTAAAATTTCTATATAGAACGAAGTGAAAGATACAAATAAACTGAAAATAAAAAACGGAAACCTTATGAAAATGAAATAATACTCGATCAAAATAATTTTCTTTCCCATCTTCTACCTTTTTTTATTTTTTAATTTTACAATTTATTTATTTTTTCTTTCTCAATTCATTTGTTATTTATTAATGGATATCTATGCGTGGACGTTGAATCGTAAAATTTGGGGATATATTTAATTTAATGTTGCAGATTCTTCGTGATAGCAAATGGAATGGCCACTCTACACAACTGGATAATGATAGCCCTAGACATTTTTGGACCAAATCTACATTTCCATGGCTTCCGTCTTCCGATTATCGCCATTTTGGACATGGTAATTAAACATGCCCTAATCCCAATTCCAATCCACCTTCTTCTTCTAATTCATCTGCATTCTGCAACATCAATTAAATTTGTCTCGTAAACTGATGGCGGCAGGCGACGGTGGCTCTGGCGTCGGCGGGCGACGGCGCGGCCACCTTCATGGCGGCGCTCGGAAAGAACGGAAATAAGCACGCCAGATGGAACAAGATCTGCGACAAATTCTCGACCTACTGCGACCATGGCGCCGGGGCGCTGATTGCTTCCTTCGTCGGCCTCTGTCTTCTTCTTCTCATCGATGTGATCTCCATTGTCAAGGTGCTGAAACATAAGCCCAACAATTCCTTCGCATCGCCATAGCCGGGCCTGATTCAAAACGCACCGTTTCGTTTCTTAATTTGTGCTGCTTGGTTGTAGTTGTAATTTTACGCGTCCTCCGCTCGGAACTCCCGTGATTTCAAAACATGTCAATGTTGTAAAGTTTCATTTTATAGGATATTTACCTATATGTGTTTTCATTAAAATAGTTTTCCTTTTTAATGTGAAAATTTGAACCCTAGACCAACTTTGGTAGGAATATATACCTTAATTACTAATATGTCCTTTAACTACTAGCTTCGTGTGCACGTTTATGTTAAAATAATTACTATCACAATATATTTCAAAAATGAAAATATTTGACTCATCACCGATTATGACTAATCTTACCTTTACTGTTGTTAAAAAATTGACGACTTATCATAGAAAAGAAAAGATATCTATTTTTATATTTTTCGATATTGGACAATGATTAGCTACGTATTTGTATACCGTTCATAAAATATCTATTATGATACGATAAAATATGTTATTGACAATTTGGTTTGTTTATTTGATGTGATAATTATTTTTTATTTTCTAGGATAGGAGCCGACCTAAATATAGTAAAACAATAATGGGACCCTTTACCCATATATTTGTTATCTTCCTCAATGTCGATAATCTAATCATATGTTACAATATAAATCTCTACCCATTGAATGTTTGTAGGTTCTCATCCTAATTTATTTATCTTATATATCTTGACAAATGTCGAGATGATTCCGGTCTATGTGAAAACTTGCTTCTATTTTGGTCGTTCCTATTTTTTGCCCACCATACATCTACTCCATACTATATATATATATAGATTAAATAAAAAATAAAAATATTATTCGCGGTAAGTCTTGGCGAGGTCCACTACGACGATCAAGTCAGTAATCACAGTAATAAATATGAGTAGACACCTTATAGATTTTAGTGACATATTTCTCACCTACCCTTTGATGTTGGGGTCTTTCCCTTTTATAAACGTTGGTGGCCGACCAGGAATGACGATGGTTTTGGTAGCAAGGACGCACATCGGGTGAGGATAGGCATCCTCAACATTTGGTGGGTGGCACCTCCACCTACTGGTTTGTCCTTCCTTGCTGAAGGCTACGGGTTGGAGCTTGCAACGTGCTCTCCGTACGACTTTAATGGCGACGTACCCGTACAAGACTCCAGCATATGTTCCTAACTGCGTGTGGTCCAGTGCCCTACTGTTTCTCCTAATACTTGACACGTCATCCACTTAGATTTCATCCGCAACAAAATACTATTATTATTAAAAATTTCACTTTACAGCATAAATTTCATATTTAATATCTGTTACAACATTTGTTTCTTTTCAAAATAACATAATTTAACATTTCTTTTGAATCTGTTATGTTTTTGAGTTTGACATAGGTAATTTGAATGGTGTCATTTTTGCGAACTTTTAAAATCAAGCTCCAGTACTCGAAATCTAGACGAGGATAAAATTTTTCGATCTTTGTTCTTGTTCTTGTTCATTTTTTTTTTTTTGAAAAAGCATAGGAGAAGAAAATTCGAATCTCCAGTTTTTCGTTATATCTAACCATTTCAGCTATGGTTATTGACTCTATCCTTATAGGGAAGGAAAAAATTGACATTATCATATAATTGTAAATAATAATTAAACTAGAACTTGATTGACCATAATAGTAATAATAGTAACTGATATGTAATTTAAAAACAGTTTTTATTTTTAACGTGGAAAATATTATTCATTTGGTAACGTTCCCATTTATTATTTATTGTTTCCAAATTTATTAAGAAACAACTATTATGTTTCTTGTTTCGAAACGTTATAAAAATTATATTGAAATTTTGAAAACAATACAAATAAATTTGTCGTTTCTTGTTTCAGTTTCTAATTTGTTCCAACAATAATATAGATGTTGGAGGTCTTGTATTTCTATTTTTATTTATTAAAAAACAAAAAAGAGAAACGAGCCCATAGTTTTTAGAATAAAATTAAAATTAACTCAAAAAGAAAAGACAACATCTCGTTATTCTCATTTTTTAAATATTTGATTAAATTGTTAATGTAAAATTATGGATTTTGTAAACGACAACTCTATTTAAATTATAGTGTGTCTAAATTTATGAGAGGAAATCAAATGAAAATTTTAAAATGCATTTATGACATTACATGAATACCCATTACTTTGGTAAATTAAAAAAAAAATGCACCGGTGTTAGATTTCTATTAAATAATTTATCACGATTACAAATTTGATTAATAAACTTCAAAGCTACGTATATTTAGTCTATAATTAAAAAAAAATCAATTACGTTTATTTTTTTTTTTAAATTTGTGTTTAACATGCCGTTATCGTCAACTCAGTAAATTAACGATGGCATGCTTGTTACATTAACCAGGGATCACCTAATCATGATTAGTAAATGGACTATTTCAATGTGGTCATGCAAATTAGCCCACTTAACAAAGTAAAAGTCCGTTATAAAAAATAATAATAATAATAATAAAATAAATAAATAAAAGTCCAATTATCTAAGCCCTACACCGTGCTTGAAATTAGTCCATTTAGCATGCTTTAGCTAGTCCCGTCACATGATCCCTAATTAATATGTTAGCACGATACACGAGCGTCAAATTAATTAATAGGATCAACAATATTAGAGTTAAAAAGATATACTAAAGTTAATAAAGTTCAAGGGTCAACATAAGTTCAACGTTTAAAATATCTTATTGCTGATCCATATTTTTGTTCTACTAAAAAAATCCTATCCTTCAATTTCAATAACAAAATTAAAATTTTATAAAATCCATAAATGAAATAAACAGAATTGAACTAAATTGATAATTTAACCATAAAATATTAATGTTAAATTATGAATTTAGTCCTTGAATTTTAAAGTCCGTGTCTAATAAATATTTTAAAATATATCTCCGAACTTTCAATTTTATGTTAATAGGGACTAACTATAGAAAATGTTTAATAGGTTCCTAAATTTCAAATTTATGTCTAATAGATTTATGAATTTTCAATTTTGTATCTAATAATAATCGTTAATATATTCAACATCTTTTAAAATCAACCAACTTGTTGGTCACAAATTTTAAAATATAAAATTTTATTAGGTTAAAAGTTCAATTTATATATAATAAATTAATTAATGAAAAAAAAAGTCGAATAATTAGTACTTGTTAAATACAAAATAACAAATTTATACCCTTTTATAAAGACTAGACATAAAATTAAAACTATAGGTAATTATTGTAAATTTTTTAATTTCAAATAAATATTAGAGACCAATATAAATTTCATACCAAGTTTGTAATTTAACCAAATATAAAACAAAGAGGGAATACTCGTGTTTACCAAATTGTATAGATAGGACCATCATCAAATTCTATAATATAATATTATTTCTGCTGCAATCTCATCAATTACATCTCATTCCTTATTTTGTGGCCCCACACATTTATCATAATTATTTTACAACTTTTACTTTTATCTCTCGTCTGTTGGTAACACCTACAACATTTTTAATTAATTATTTTATACTTTTATAGTTTACTTTTCATTTATACATTTTTAATTAATTATTTTATACTATGGTTTACTTTTCATTTATACTATTAATAATTTTTCTTCAAATAAAAATTTATAAAATTTTAATTATTAGCTGATGTAATTTTATTAAAAAGATTAGAAATATTTATTTAATTTTGTAGTTTTACTTTGTTATTATTAATTAATACAAATAGATTTTTAAAATACAATGTATTATTATTAAATATTAAAATAACAAGATTTTATATTACATAGCGGTTGTCCTACATTTTAGTTGCAAAAACGAGCATAACTCAGTATCTCTAATAAGATATCGTGAGTTCGAACCCCACCTTACATTTGTACTTAAAAAAAGGTATTTTAGTCAATGTAATTTTATTATTCATTATTTATTAATATAAAATAAATTATATAATAAAAGATAATTACTATCATAGTAATAAATTAAATTAAATTAATTATTATTGCAATTAAAAAGGATGGGTACAATAATGTATTTCTAATCCGTTAGAAAAAATAAATAGTAAATAAATTGACCATTCTCAATTTATTTTTATTTCAAATTCATTCCCATAAAGTAAAGTGAGATAATATTATTTTCAATCGTAAACTGATGGACCTAGAAATTGTAGAGAAAGTAGGAATCAGAATCAAAACAGGATTCAAAGCTTCCATTTATACGATAGAAATTGTATTCGTGAACTCTCATCTTTTTCTGTTCAATTGCTTGAATTGCAATCCTGCTCGTGAGTACTTTGTACGATAAAGGACTGTAATTCGAGCAAAATTAGTCTCTAATCTCTAATCTCTAATCTCTATCTCCCACTTTTACTTGTTGCCTTGGCTGGTTTCAGTTTCCACCGCTTTCCGTTAAACTGCGTGCTTTTAGCGGCTTTTCTCTCTCTCTCTCTCGTTCTTTAATCTCAGCCCTTCTCTTCCCTTTTGTTCTTCTTCTCTTTCACAATTCACAATTCACCAATTCATCGATTCCATTCCGGGAATTCCAAAACCACCTCCCATTTATTATTCTTCCTTGCCTTATTTACTTTACCCCCAAATTCCTCATTTTTTTTTTGTATTCTCATAATATATGTCAAGAATTTTTTCGTAATTAACTTTCGAGGAGAGAGAAAGATTGTGGTTTGGGTTTGGGTTTGGGTTTCGGTTTCAATTCATCCTCACCCCTTTGGGTCTTTACCCTTGTTGAGATTGAGGTACCCTTTATTTACTTTTGATTTGTCTGTTTATTTTATTCCGTTTCTGCGTGTATTTTTTATTTTTTTCTCTTTTTTCAGTTGAAGCTTTCTCTACAAACAATGGATTGCGTTTTGCGTTTGCCTATTCTTACTTTTACTTTTCGTTTGGTTTTTTAATTTTTGTGAGGAGGGGGGGTTCTATTCCATGTTACACTGTTTGCGAATGAAATCGTTTTGATTGTCCGTTTCTTCCTAACCAAACAATTTCCGTTTACTGGGTCAATTATTTATTTAATAAAACTTTTCGTCCATTCGATTTCGATATTGGGTATTTTTCGTTGTCTTTTGATATTTTAGAAACTGGGTTTGAATTAACACATGTAATTGAATATTCTTTTAGGTTTTTTTCCCTTAAAAATTCAGTCATTATTCCCAAGTCTGTGATTTCGTAAATCAACCCCCCATCGAGAAACATTCCTTCCCAGAATGCTTTTGCTTTTGTAGCTCGCTTAAATTGGTGGTAAGCACCAGATTTATTGCTTCCGTCCTGAATATGATATGCAATTGATGAAGATAGCTTAATTATGCGCATGCAGGGCCTTAATTTTTCTAATAATTTTGCAGATTTTCATACTTTTCCAAACGGGTTTAAATTCTGTATGTACTGTTGATGAATTAGGTTTTCACAACATTGCAGGCGATGGACCAGAGTAAATTCGCAGAAGATTCTCATGCAAGAGGGGTGAGATTTCTGATTTCTTTTCATGTAATTGAAATTGTGTGTATGTTGTAATTATTTATCCATGTTATTCAGGTAAATATATTCTATTTTACCATCTGACCTTTTGATTTCACAGATCTTTTTCTCCTTCCGTTCTAGAATAAAATTTATAGATTTTACTTGTTTAACCTTTTTTTTCTCCTTTTAAAAATTTATAGATTTTGTTTACTAGGTGATCATATGCTTTCCTGTTTGCTAGTTATAATTTTTCGATTTGCTGCTTGGTCATGTTTAGATGTTGAATTGTCACTAGTTGAGGACAAATTCACGTTGGCGATGTTTTTTGTGATGATTGATTTAAATATTGTTTTGATATCCTGGGCCCTTGGGCACTGTAATCTACATCTAAAATATAGAATCAGAGGTCATTCTTTTTTCTTTTAATCATCAATTCATCCTCTAGGAATCTAAATCATGGCAGTATTCATCAGCTTGGTTGCAGAAAATTCAAGTTACAATCTCCACTAATGTTTATTGTTAATGCTGATCTGTATTTGATAATGTCAAACTTAGAATATATTTTCTTCTAAATTCTAGATTCTCTGCAAGAACTTGTTATCAGGAAACTTATTAATTTAGACGGTGAGTAGGTTTTGGTTTTCTATCCTGAAGGTCCAAAGTCCATTTATTTCTTTCTCAATCTCAAAAGAAGTTCAAAGGTCTTATTTTTTTTCTTCTGCTTGTAGTACATTTGAATATTAAAACATTGATGGTATTTTTTCTAAATTTTATTTACCTTGAAAAAATTAAGACAAGACTTTCCCACATTTTAAGTTGTTCTGGCGCTTCTTTTGAATAATTTCCTTGTAAATACATCTTCCATGGCTCCTGGATGTCAATGAAAATCTGTGGTTGACTTGCAATAAATTCTAGATGATGTGATTTATATTTGCAATTTCTAAAGAAGTTTTGGAAGTTTCCTTGTGGGAAAAGATGGGGATAGAAATCTGATTGTGGAATGGTCAAACTTTTTGAAGTGAATTGCATATTGTTCACACCATAATATTCACCTTGCCCGATCACCTGGAATGCCTTTTTGAAGTGGGTCTGGAGCTAACTTTGGGGGATTGTTTTTTTTTAAACTATTCTTCCTCTCTTTACCATTTCATGCTTTTCAAAAAATTTTTGAGCTAATTTCTTTTCTGGATGTCCATGTGTTTTTGTCATGCTAAACTAGACATATATTTAAATCAATACATTATAATTTCTCATAGGATTTTTTGTTCCAGGATCATTTTTCCAAGAGCAGTCATAAAAGTAACCAGACTGTTGAGAAGTTGGGAAGTCCTCAGCTTCAGAAGGTACATAACTTTATAGCACCACTCTTAGATGATGTGGCAATTGATGAGCCGAGAAATTTTAGTAATAAATGGGAAATGCATGACATGGATAAGAGCGATTCAGTCAAAGCTTTTGCTTGTACACTTACAGTTAATTTAGATGCCTTGTATCCAAGTGGGTTGAATCCGTTCCATTTGTTTGTTGGTCCTGTGAGTTAATTACTTTCAACAAAATCTGAAGAAGATAGCCAACCACCTACCTTTTGCCCTATTCAATTTGTGTTGGTGCAGGGCTTTTCTATTTAACATTCTATTTCACAACTTTCTGGACGTCTTTTTATTTTCAAGGCTAGAATTATTTGTTCTTACGCAATTATTGAATTGTTGTGTGATTAAAAGAGAGCCTTGGTACATTTTTCTTTTGAGTTGTTACTGAGCTTCTTGATGCAGTTCCTTAGCTAGGTAGTTTTGTACAATATTTTCCCTCCAGGTTATGTTTTGCACTCTTTGTATATATGTGATTGATGATAAGTATCATTGCCAAAAATATTTAATTGCCCTTTAATAGCATCTCCTTGTCATGTTGCAGATTTCAGCTAGATGGGACCCGGATGAAGCATGCAGGCCTTTAATTGATGAAGCACCTGTATTTTATCCTACTGTTGAGGTAATATATCCTTTATCAGAAAAATTATTGCAAGTCTTTTCTGTTTGATGTTTGTATCTGGGGCATGAATTATAGCTGTCTTTGTGTTTCTCTTATACGAACTTGCATTTTTCCACTTTTAATATTCATTAGGAATTTGAAGATACACTCGGGTATATAGCTAAGATTCGTCCTCAAGCAGAATCTTATGGTATATGTCGGATTGTCCCTCCGCCTTCTTGGAATCCACCGTGTGTTCTCAAGGAGAAATCTATATGGGAAAATGCCAAGTTTTCTACACGTATTCAGCAAGTTGATTTGTTACAAAATAGGGAGCCGATGAAGAAGAAAAGTAGAGGCCGGAAACGCAAGAGAAGAAAGCACTCAAGAACAGGAACATCAGCTAGATGCACCAATCTTGGAGTAGAAGCAAATCTTACTTCTGAGTCTGATGAAAAATTTGGATTCAATTCTGGGTCAGACTTCACACTCAAAGATTTCCAGGCATATGCAGACTATTTTAAGGAATGTTATTTTGGAATTAAGCAGGCTCCAGAGGATTTGAATTTTGATCTTGAGTCTAGCAAGAGATGGGAGCCCTCAGTGGAGGATATAGAGGGTGAGTACTGGCGAATAGTTGAACAACCTACAGATGAGGTTGAGGTATGGAAATATTTTCTTTTAGTAGTTTTGTATTTCTTAAATATTTGTGCGTTAGGGAGTATACTGTTTAATTATGTCATATTGCAGGTTTACTATGGAGCTGATATAGAATCAGCAACATTTGGCAGTGGCTTTCCCAAGGCCTCATCCATGGTAACTGAAGGAAATTCAGATCCATATGTAAAGTCAGGTTGGAATCTTAATAACTTCCCTCGCTTGCCAGGTTCTGTTCTGTGTTGTGAGGAAAGTGATATATCTGGAGTTCTAGTGCCATGGCTCTATGTCGGAATGTGCTTTTCATCATTTTGTTGGGTAAGTTCATCTCCTTCTTCTGTTAAGGAGAATGGAGATTCCTTGCCTTCACCTATTCCTCTTGTAATTATTTTTGTTGAATGGAAGGAATATCTCTTATCGAAAGTAATCATTCACCACTTCTTTTACATCTCTTATTCCTAAAATCCCCCCTTTCTTCAAGTAACGTTTGAATATGTCAGTATTAGATCAAATGTGGAAAAGTAATTTGTTAATAATGACAATGATAACTCAATCTATGTATTCGCAGTTACCTTATTTAGTAGCTAAGGACCCTGTTGTCTTCAAAGAAGGTGTAGAAATAAGGAAACATTTTAGTGTCTCTTTCCTTTCAATAGCTTTTGAAACAACAACTATTATCCATTCTGAAAAATTGAGCGCACTGCACTTGAACCAGATGTATCTCACTACTGGAATCAATTAAATGAAACAGAAAAGCTCAGACATAGTGAATAATTAATGCTACATAGCCTTTCATTCCTTGAAATTTAAAAAACAAATCTGAAGGCTATAGAAGTACATACTGTCGGGATGGAAGCCTTATTGCCTTTTGCTTATTTATCATTTGTTGCATCTCTCTCTCTCTTGTGCATTAATATGGATTTTGATATTTAGCATAGTTATATAGTTCTTGGGGCTTCAATTTATTGGAAGAAACATTTGGAAAATGCTGACTTGTGCTGTTGATTATCTGGTTATATGCTGACTGTCTATGAAAGATTTAATATTTGTTTTCTCAAAAGTCATTCCAGGTTTTTTTTCTCTTCTGATTTTTTCCAGCACGTTGAAGATCACCATCTTTACTCTTTAAACTATATGCACTGGGGTGATCCAAAAGTATGGTATGGAGTTCCTGGGAGCCACGCATCTTCTTTGGAAGCTGCAATGAAAAAGCATTTGCCCGATTTGTTTGAGGAACAGCCGGATTTACTTCATGAATTGGTAATTTGATCATTTTATTAGTTTCCTAATCGTGCTAGAATGTTTTGGTTCACAAACTTAAACATCTCACCTTAGTTGCGATTCACTTATAGAAATGTTGGTTAGTTTATATAGATATCATTTAAATGTCTTTCATGTAGTTTATGAGACTGTTTTCTATCAACAATATAATGATGTTCGTACCTACTTCAATTCATTGGATGCTTGGGACACCTGGTGTAACGCCAATGCTGTATGCTGGGAGTGGGAGTCACGAGTTACTGAATATAACTTTTACTGCTGTTTAAATACCATGACATATGTTTCAGCTTTCTGTGCTGGATAACTTTCAGTCAAATCTTCAATTCTCTTGCAATGTTCATGTCACAGATATAAGCCATTAGGTGTCCCATTATTATGTTGTATTCTCTCTCTCCCCCTATCCTTTTTTTTAAAGAAAAACTTCTTAGGAATTATGACTTTGTTCTTGCAACAGGTCACTCAGTTATCTCCTTCAGTGCTCAAATCTGAAGGAGTACCTGTGTATCGAGTGGTCCAAAATTCCAGGGAGTTTGTTCTTACCTTTCCAAGGGCATATCACGCAGGATTTAACTGTGGTTTCAACTGTGCTGAGGCTGTAAATGTGGCACCTGTTGACTGGTTGATTCATGGACAAAATGCTGTGGAGCTTTATAGTGAGCAACGGCACAGGACATCACTTTCACATGATAAATTGTTATTTGGTTCAGCTCAGGAAGCTGCCAAGGCCCTTTGGGAGCTATTAGTTTTGGAAAAGAAAACTCCAAGTAATCTAAGATGGAGAAGTGTGTGTGGAAGAGATGGGGATCTTACAAAGGTGGTCAAGGTAAACCATTCTTTCTTTTCCTCCCTATATCCTCTGTATATATCTGCATAGTTTATATGAATGTACTACTGAATGAGCTATAGGGATTTTATCATTAGTTCATGTTGTATTATTATCTTTGGGGGGCCTCCTCGGCCCTGCCTTTAGGCTGTCTTCTTTTTGTCAGTATTTTTTCTCGTTTCTTATAAAAAAAATATTTACAGACAAGGGTGATGCTGGAGGAGCAAAAAACGAATTGCCTTCCAACTCATATGAAGTTGCAGAAGATGGAAAGTGAGCTTGATTGCAAAAGTGAGAGAGAGTGTTATGCCTGCTTCTACGACCTATATCTCTCTTCAGCCTCGTGCAAGTGTTCTCCTGATCGGTTCTCATGCCTTAAGCATGCTAGTAACTTTTGCTCATGTCCAGTAGATGACAGGTGTGTGCTCTTTCGCTTCAGTATAAATGATCTGCATACACTTGTTGAAGCATTAGAAGGGGGATTAGATGCCATTAAAGAATGGGCCTCAAGATACTGTAAAATGGACACGGACAATGAACCTGTAGCTAAGGTGGACTTGGACGGTGGATTAATGGAAAAACCATCTTGGTCCCCGGAAACAGCAGATAAGCTAAAAAGAACAGACGTCCCATGCAGTTCATCTAGTCATGCTTCTTCAGAAGTAGTGCAGTCAGAATCTCATCGTGGATCACTCAGCTTAAATACTTCCCACCTTAGTTCAGATAGTCAGAATGACATTGTAAATAGTGAAGTTATGGTAATAAATAAAGAAGAAAAGGTGGGGCAGGAGTGCTGCATTGATTTGAATCTTGAAATAATTTCCGATGAGAATGGTAGTTGTGGGCTCCACGAAACTGATAACAAGCTACTCATTGATTTGGAGGAAACATATACTTCGGAATTTGAAGAAAAAAAGGTTTGTAAAGCAGCACATGAACCAGAGTTAATGGAACTTGACACTGATCATGCAAACACTTCTCCGGTTAATGATTACTCTTCAAGTTTAAAAGATGGCGTGAGAATGTGCAGATCTAATGGTAGTAAGCTGTTTGGAGTTGATATTTCACAATCGCAGTCGGAATTTCCATCTAGTGATCCCTCAAAAGTAGAAGCTCTAAAACACTCGGATATAAAGATACCTGCATCTTCGCTCAGTCCTCCTTGGAAATGGGTTCCTCGTGTTGAACCTATAAGTATTGGAACAATTATGTTTGGAAAGCCTTGGTACTGCGAGAAGGCCATTTTTCCAAAAGGTATTGCATCAACTTGTTTGAATCAACAGTAGATGATTAGCTTTAATACAGAGGATTCCCTTATTTATTTATTTTCTCTGATTTCTTCAGGTTTTAGAAGCCGAGTTTATTTCTTTAGTGTGCTCAATCCAACTAAAATTGTTACCTACATATCAGAAGTTCTTGATGCTGGGCTCCTGGGACCTCTATTCAAGGTAGTCACCCCCTCCGTTCCGATTCTATGTTTCAACATTGTTTCATAGTAGTTTTGTTTTCCATGAAATGTCAGAAGTTGGAATTTCCTCTGCGTACCTTCCCAGTTTCATGGTGAAGTGTTCAGAAGGGACATAAAATTCACTTGGTTCTTTTAACTCGCCCAGAGTAATTTTTTGCTGCTAGTGAAAAAATTGAGATTTATTCAGGAGAACCTATATAATTATTCAGTCCATTTTCTCAAAAACTAGCATTATAGCTTTGCAGGACAGGGTCTCATTTATAGAGCTCTAGGCATAATTGCTTATGTATTAATTGTTCATTCTGTGGAATTACATTCAGGTGACGTTGGAAGCATCTCCCAGCGAAAGTTTCACTAATGTCTCAGCCACCAAATGCTGGGACATGGTAATACAGAGAATAATCCAAGAAGTCAAAAGACAGAACCTTAGATTGGAAGAAACACATCCTTTGCAGGTTTTGGAGGGAATTAATGGACTTGAAATGTTTGGATTTCTTTCACCTCATGTTATTCAGGTAGGACCTACCTTGACATGATCCTTGATGTTTGTTGCTAGTCAGCCCCTTCTTGATGCTTTTTTGCTGGGGCCATGGTTTTAACATTGTTCTGATTTTTTTGGGTTAATAATTTGCTTCTGATTTCTTATTTTAGGCTATTGAGGGTCTTGATCCTAACCACCAGTGTACGGAGTACTGGAACCACCGGCATCACCCTGTACCTGCAAATTCAGGTGACGACTCTTACTGCAAAAGTTCTGCTTTAAGATTGAATTTCTCTTCAGGCGAAACGAGTGCAACTGCTTTTGATATCAATAGGAAAGAGGATGAAAATGAAGGGCACCATCAAAGTGACGAAGAGGTTCGATCAGTATTAAAGGGACTGTTGAATAAAGCAAGTCCTGAAGAATTGAGGGTACTGCAGAGCATACTCTGCACAGAATTGCAAACTACTGAATGGAGAGCAGAATTTGCAGCAATGATCAAAGATAAACAAGAAAAATGTAGATAGTTAACTAAAAGATATAGGAGTTATCATTCTTTCTAATTCAAGCTCTAGCTCTTTCTCGGCCATTCATCGAGTCTACTCTCTCTAACGATTCATAATCAGAACGGGAGATCCTCTTCCTAGCCATCGACTTTGTGGAAAAATTAAATTATTCTGCATCTTCTGCTGTGGCCTCCTCTCATGGCTTTTTAGTTAGCTGTCTGAGAACTCTCTGTTTGACAGGCTCAGGCTCGGCGCCGTCTACGTTGATTACGCTGCTCTCGTCATAGAAGATTCTGCTAATTTTTCTGACTCTGTAATTGTCAGTCTTACTTTCCATTTACTAGTAGGATATTGGTTTTCCAGAGCTCACAGCTTGTCTTTCTTCTCTCTTGATTCAAACTCACTGAGATAAATTACATCAGGAATCTGTATCTTAGAGAACACTTAGCGCAGCTGGTGATGAGTTTGGTTGCCAATTTTGACCAATGTTTTACTTAAAACAGTTTATGGCAGCATATTAAATACAATATTAGTTACTAAGATTTATTTGTATATTTGATTATTATTCGAAAATGTGTCTCAGGGTCACAATCCTCTCATCTTTATGTTATGACTGACTATACATGGCCAATTGTCTTGGCCAAACACTCATATTTAGTGACGTTATCGACTTTAGCTGCCTTGCCTTTACTTGCTCAATTGTCGCAGCTTGTTCTTGCATCTAAAAGATTTTCTTCACCTATTTTTTGTCTTAGATATTTAACTTTGGAATGCTTTTTATTCACCACTCAATGTAATTTGGTAAATCTCTTAAAGTATCATTAAAGTATCTTGTCTTAAATGTAGTTGTGAGATGTTGAGAGAGATGATGGGTTGACATTTGATATAATTTATAAGATGTGTCTATAATTCTAGTTGCCTAATAGTGTTTGGTTGATTGTAATTTGAACTAGAGTCTCAGATCCATAAAAAAGTAACAAATTGAACTGTGAATAAATCCAAAGCCCTGCAAATACAATTCACATGAGGCCCATAATTCTTCAAAATAAGTCAATACTCAATAGGGTTGGTATGGAATAAAAATCTTGATAAAACTTGGAAAGATGGGTAAATGCAATTCCAAACCTACTCACACTATTGCAATCCTTTGTCACAAGACTAGAATTTTGATCAACAGAGACGGCTTTCGACCTAGTCTCTTCTTATCAATACATGGACTAATGGAGAATAAAATAAAAACCAACAATTGACTAGTTTCTTCGAAGTGTTACCCCTAGTCTCTTCTTGATACTCAAATCCTTTAGCTTGACTAGTGGTAGAAATATGATCAACTCAATATACTTAACCCCAAAGAAACATCCTCCAAGAAAATGCACCAAAAGTATTTGAGCTAAAACAAACCTAATACTATCTCTGTGCAGCCAGCCTCGTATTATCTCCTAATTATGTTTTAACACATGATAAGAGCAAGCCCGTGATGACACTCTTCCACCAAAATTTGTCATCCGAAAGGACCGAAACATCTGGAACACATTGCCTATAAAAAGGCCATTGTAGCAACATGGCACGCAATGTATCGTCTACCATCTTGTCTATTTTGTATGGACAGTCTAACTTTTCAGTGCCATCTCACATAAGGTGAGGTGAGATACGTATCAGTAGCTTTTTCTCAAAATCATCAGAAGCTCTAGAGTACCACTTGTCTCAAGGTTCGAGTTTTGAGTCGAACATGGCCTGCATTTTGTATCATGGACTGTATTCAAGTATAGATGAGGACCTTAGTTACTCTGGATCCTAAAAATTAAGAACAACTTCTAAGAATAAAGAACGAAATTACCCGAGCTGTTGGAGTTGGTGCCCTGAAAACAACTTCATTTTCCGCAATAGGGTGTTGGGAGGAGCCAAAAGTGTTTCCAATGAACATCCACATGTCAAAATATACTTCTTATACCTCAGTGATTAAGGCAGAAAAGCAGGCATATGCCTTTGACAGTACATGAACAATGAAATATTGAGTTGCTTGCTTGCTAACATGTGCCACATTCCTTTTTTAGGTCTTCTCTTCAAATGATCTCATCTGCAAACTAATAAGAGGAAGAGGAAAATATGTACACGAGGGGAAAATCAGAACCGAAATTTGTCACTCTTCTCCATGTTTATATGTACATGTCTCCAAGGCTTGTGCTATCAGCAACTGGCAAACAGAACTCCAGCTGTTCAATAGTCTTTAATTGATTCTCTTGTAAAACCACGTATGAGATGACTTTTTAATACACAAATCTCTTAAGAAGCAATCGCACTCTATAATTGCAAGACAAAACCATTATTTCAAAAAGAAGTTCCGAAAATATAGGCGAGTTAATGACTCCAAAAATCATGTGAGGTCATTTTCATCCAGTGGTTCTTCTTGCTCCTTCATTGCATCGGTCTTCAGTGCACTCACTTCACCTGTAGGCAGTTTTCTAGCAAGCCTGATAATCTGCAGAAATTTTATTTCAGTCAAAATGTGCAGAAAACAACATCCCACGGCATAGCAGTGAAAATGAAGCTGATTGATTATGCTTCATTAACCGTGTCAAGCATTTCTTTCCTTTCAAAATGATTTACGATTAAGCAAATATTAGAAAGGCCATGAAATGTGATGTGCTAACTATGAATGAAGAGTTTTTGAGAAAACAGTTTCAGAGGAACCAATGAAACTTTTAAGTTTCTATAATTAGATGCATGTAGGATAGGAATCCATGTGTTGTACAGAAGCAATTTTGACCCAAGATTTTGGGGGACCCTCTTATTGTTGCAGTTAGAATTACATTTGCCAATGTAATCATGTATTAGTTGTCTTAAAGTTTCAAAATGAAACCAGAACATTATTTGGAAAAAAAATGCTTCGATGGTTTTTTCTTCTTCCAGGTCCTGGTCCACGGTGTTTTAACTCAATGTTCCTCTTTTTTCTTTTTCTCTATGTATTTTTTTAAATAAGAAACATGTCTGTTCCACAAAAATGAGGGAATAGCATAAAGGGCAAGAGGTAGAGAGAACCCCCACCCAAGAAACTAAGAAAAGATCATTACACAAAAGGGAACCTTCTAATAATTAATAATCCTTAGAAGATTGTAATTACAAAATAATTTTGTGTATTAAATCACCACCAATAGGCAGAATGTTGCATCCTGTCACAAGATGAATTTATTTCTTTCTTAGTACCTCTTTCTAATGAACCTTGGAATTCTAAAGAAATATTTACTTTTCATTAATGGTTTACCCCCAGTGATGCCCTGTATTAAGAAAACTAAACTTTTTCTTTACGAGAATGAAATGTTTGACCTTTGCAAGAGGTTCTCTTTTAAATCCTATTTCGAGTTTTATTTATTTATTTATTATTTTTAACATAAATTAAATACTTCTCTTAAAACCAACATTGAATCCAATTTGTTCTGGTACAGTAAGAAACCTTCCAAGATGTACTGTTAGGCCTTTTGGCTTATGGTTAAGCAAATATTTGCAATCTTTTCTAGCAAAAAAAAAAAAAAAGAAAAAAGAAAAAGGCCCATGACTTTCACTTTCCTTTTTTTATATTTGAAACCCAACTTTGTAGTTCTCTGTTACATGCATAGATGTCAGGTTTTCTCGGTTTTATCTAATTATTTATATGCACTTCCATCTCTTCCTTCTCAAGATGAATTTTTCCCATTGAAATAAAAGATGATCTGGTTGTAATTTACAAAATATATTGAATTCAACTTTTCACAAATTAAAATGTAAGAACATGAAGGATTAAAAAATTTACCACATGATCAAGATGAGATATAGTGCTTGACTGAGCCACACGCTTGATTTCCTCGACATCACCTTCCATATAAGCAGATACTAGCTTACTAGCAGCACGGTATTGGTCAGTTCTCAAAAAGGCATCAACTCTGTAAGGAGGAAATAATAGAAATTCAGCAAACAAGTACTCTTTTAGGATGTCGCCATGCTATGAAATATTAAAATGGAACAACAATTTTCTCTTTTCAAAATATCATATTTTTGCACTTAAGATTCAAAAGTTATCCTTCACCAGTTCTTTCTTGGCAAAGCCTATTTGGTTACTTGGCAACTTAAAGATTCCTACTACTTGTCTAAGTTAAAAGAAAATATAAATTAAAAAATAACACCTGGACCGTGGAGAGAATGGAGAAGAGAGCAAAAGACATAGGCAGATGGCCTATTAAAGAGTTATCTTCGAATAGCTTGTCCTTAGATGAGGAAAAGGTCTATTTAGCTACTAAGCTGCTTTTATGTATTTATTAATCTAAGATAGAAAAAGTGCATATATGTGTACTGTCTCTGTGTGTGTATTTCATTTATTTAGTTTTCAATAAATAGAAACCTTTACAAAATTTTGTCTTCTATACAGATTTGCAACTTATAACAACCCCTCCATGTTCATAGCCTAGCTTAGATATGACTGCAAAAGTTTATCACAACTTCAAATTGTAAAGTTTCATTTACACCCTTTAGTTTATATCTTAAGGGTCTAGGCTTCAGTCTCAAGAAAGATGATTGGATTCTCTAAATTAATGGATGGTTTCCATCACTTTGATAATTGCATATCCACCAACCCATGGCCTCCTACTTCAGGCCAGATCTGAAGTTAACCAGATTATCCTCAGCAGATCAGGTACCCCCTTTTAAGCTAAGTTACCACCAGTAAATCACTTTTAAAGAAATTATTCCATAAATTCAACAAAGTATTTGAAACTATATTGTGAGGATTGTATCTTTAGCAACACATCATCATGTGTTCCTTTCTGACATCACGATATAGCACCTCATTCCTTGATAAACTCATGTTTGAGGGCCATCACAAATTTCATGTGTTTGTTGCTTTACTTTCTTGGCAATACTCATCTAATATGGGTGTACCTTGACCCTTGGATTTTTCCTCTCTTCCACAAGTTCGTTTAAAAAATATTTGGAATCTAAAATCTTAACTTAAACGATGATGAGTACTTTCCAATTACTTTATAATTCATCGTTTATATCAGTGTCCTTAATTATTGTTGTTGGTACTTTTATAGGGATTATATATATCTAATTTTCAATACAACAACAAATATTAAACAAATTAATCCACCATAGTCTTGTTTCTTTTGTAATTATCTCTCTTATGCCTCACATATTGTTCTCCGTGGAAGGGTAAATGCTCTTTACACAGAAAGGTTTTCTTGGTAGTCTTGAAAATCTTGAGATATGTAGTGTTTTGTAGGTAGCCTCAAAGGGATTCCCAACCATTTGGGCTTTCAAGACAAGATAAATTATTAAATAACTCTCAACTTGTATATGCTCCCGATTACTTTGTTCATCCCATAATAAGTCTACATAACAGACATTTATCATTTTCTGGAATTGATTGACGTTAGGTTGGGCAAAAGATCTCTTCTTGTACAAGTGGAGTAACAATAAAAAGAAACCAATCATCAACGCAGACACTTTCTAATTTTAAAGATCCCATTTACAATTGCTTTACAAGTGAATCAAAATGTATATAATTGAGTGCCTACCCAAGGCTAACTGGAGAATGACCAACCTTGACTTTAGTGAAGTAATTCAAAGTACGAAAATCCTGGAAGCAGATGAAAAAATAATCACGATAAAGTTCAGAATTTATACTCACTGTGAACAGTCATTGTAGCACTTCTCAGCTTGTTTGAAGTCGTGGGCGTAAAGGTAAACAATGATGGCACTAAGATATGCCTGGAATTAACAAATATATATCTTTAATATATTATTAGCAATAAGTTTCATTTATTGATAGATACTGGCAGCACAACAATGCAGTTCAATGCTTTCAACTAGTAATCATTCTCTTTCTTCCATTTATGTTAATTGGAAAGTCTATTAAACTTCTTTGACTTTTTTGGGGTGTCTCCTCATGTATATTTAATAAATTATTAGTTTCCTACCAAAAGTAACTTGGAAAGTAAGAATCAAGTTTTCTTGTTATCGAAGTACACTATCGAATCTATACATGTTATGGTAAAAAGGAGTATTGGCTCAAATAACAAAATAGGAAGCCTTTTTTGAGAGAAAGCATGTGATATCTCTTGATCTTCTATAAATAATTTATTTTGCCTCTGTCTTTCTTCTTTCCATGTTTTCCTTATTTACTCCTGCAATTAGCCTCTATATGCACCAATAGTAAATTAAAAAGCCATCAATGTGATAGAAAGATAGCAAACTTCTTCTAGGAAACCTCTTTTAACAGGTTTTGTTGAATGATGAGGAAAAATCCATTGCAAATTAATATAAGAGAAGTCAGAAGTAGAATCCCACCCACCTTGCCCTGGCTATGGGAAGCATTGCATTTATCAGCTGCCAAACCCCATCGCAACAGCAGTTCTGCAGCATCAGAATATCTAGGAAAAAGGCAATATTTTTCTACAGCCACTAAGACCTTTTATATATGTACAAACGGAATTTCATATATGAGCCAAGATTTAGAGAGCTAAGACTTGTCCAGATTTCATGGCAAGAAAAACGGTCCTTAATTGTTTAGCCATCACTTTTATTACAACTTTTTGCATTTTCAACAGCACATGGGCAACATAGGTTTCATTAAAAAATGGATAATAATGAGATAGTGAAATATAAAACTCTTAAGGCTTTCGATTACGGCAGTTTCAAAATGTCATTTCAAAATAATTCAAAACTTACTTCTCTAGTTTTACAAAAACACTTGTGGCATCGCGATATAAATCAAAGGCCATTTGTTCTCTGCCATCCTCTTCAAGAAGTGTACAGGCATCAGTGAATAATGTGATAGCTTGATCTGGCATGCTATCTTCCAAAGCACTGTAAGGAGATATACAATTAAAATGTTCAAAGGAATCTATGGCAAGATATATTTGTATCAACTTGAATGAATAGTAAATATAAAAAAGAAGTGGCATATTCCCTTAAGTTACAGTTAAAATCATCCATCCTAGTGAAGGCCAAGGGAGGATGCATTAATGGCTAATTGAGGAGCTTCATTATTTTCTGGGTTATACATTATGACTGCACGAAGCTAACTTATATATGGCGAAAAAATTTAATTAAGAATGAAAGAAGACAAAAGAGGAAAAATAAGAAATCTAGCCTCGAGCAGTTTTATTGAAGACGCAAGTTATGTGGTGTTGCATAAAACATAAAATTACCGGGCACCCTTTGCTAAAGCATCAGATGCAGGTTGTGATCTTCCACACAAAATATACAACTCGGATGCCCTTCTATAAAAGTCAGCAACTTCAGTCCAGTTACCCAGTTCCTTTGCAAGAGCAGCTGCAGATTCCATATGCTTAGCAGCATCCCAGGGTCTAATTAGTAGTGAAGGACTTAAAGGGAGAAAACACACGTAAAAAAATAAATCCCATCAACTAGTCCAGAAAATAAGGATACGAGGAGAGCATCTCTTGCCCTTTTGAAGCTTTTTCAAACGCAATCTTTGCGTTCTCACGGTTGTTTCGAACCCTATACGCATTCGCTAAAGCAGAAAGCATTGAGAAAAGAATATCAGAAAGTAATGCATTATCTACGATTATCACATTCTTGCATCCAATTAGAAAGCTTAACTATGTGTATAGAAAACAACATACCAGCCTGCTCATAGAGTTCAGTAGCACTTTTCCAATCAGCACTCCACCTTGTCATACTGAGTTTTGTTCTATGGGATTTCACAGAAAACAAAGAAATTCAATTGCCAAGTCCAAACATAAATTATGGCTAATTAACTTCCTAATTCATCCGATCCACCTTCTTCATGCTCAATCCCAATGCGATGCCGAAAAACCAATCAATATTAAGCTTCGCTTAAAGCCCACATTCTCATGGGCATATTAGTTGTATTTTCATTTCCTATACGTACATCAAGCTACCGCTTAGAGAATCCATGACCAGAACTCAAAATATTTCCAATCCCAACAGAGGCCCAACAAGCTCAGCACCATTCATGAGTCAATGAGAAGTAAAATAAACTTCAAACAAGTAAGATAACAAAGTGAAGAGAAAAATCGAGCAAGGAGAAGAAAACTAACAATTTATCGGCTTTGTTCATTAGCTTGTCGGGATCGGAACTCCCCATGATTTTGTTTCCTGTTCTGCAACAATTTCTTCTCTTCTTTCTTGGCTGCTCGTGATTTTGCTCGACGCCTTATCGAGCTGTACTCCCAACTTCCCTTTGCAATTACACCATTTGCACCAAATCGACAGGTAAGATTCCACCTCCCTGTTTATCTGTTCTAAATAAGGATCGAGAAACCAAGAAAATCAATTTTTTAATTATTATTGCAATATCTTTATCACAGCCAAGGTTAAATTACGTATTTTCATATAAATTTAGATGGCTATATTTATTTTATTTATTATTATTATTTTTGTAAATATTACATCACAAGGAATAACTCAACTGATTGATCAAAGATTTAAATTTTTGCTAATTTTTTTTCCAACCGGACGTGGGATGAAAAATAGAACTCAAAACCTTTTAGTCAGAGATATACATCGGTTGAGATATGCTCATTTTTTACATTTTTGCTAACTTTTTAAACTTAGCAAAAAAAAAGTAAAGATTTTTTAGTTACTGGAATACTTAAATTAATCAATCTAAAAAATTTTAATTACGTTTTTAAATTATAATTTTAAGTTAACATTACTATTATTTTCTTTGAGTACGTGGAGATAAGAATTTGAATTTACGACATTTTGGTCAGAAATAGAAATTTTAACTAGTTGAGTTATACTTAAGTTGACAAATTAACATTATTAACTAAAAGATTACGTAATATATTCGTGAATATCGACTAACGTAGTATAATGTACAAGATAAAGTGACAGCATTTAGAAATTGGTTAATSGGTAAAGATACGTGTACTTGATGCCCCGTCTAAGAAAGAGATCCAAGTCCTAGCAGACCCGCTGAGTGGTGATTCGACATGGATTCTACATCTTGGAACCAAGCCAATTTTGGAGCAGCCTTGTGATAATGAAACCAACCGGCAAAAAGCATTAAGGCTGCAAAGACTAATGCACCAATTGCGGTACAATAGAGTTGTAATTCACTAATTATTCCAGATGGCTCGCCACGACTGAAAAAAACCAGAGGTGATTTGTATTCCTCGAAAACCCCCGCTTACATCACCATTCAATATTTCTTGGCTCACTATGAAAGAAAATGAACAGCTTATTATTATTTTTTTGACACGATATAAGAGGTGATGAAACATATTTATAATCCACCCGATTTCACAACCAAAAGGTTAGAGGTTCAAATTATTACTCACATATTTTTTGAAAAGAAAAACCTATTAAAAAAAAAACTACCAATTTCCTTTAATTTTTACATTTAATTTTCATACATTGTAGTGTTGAAAGAGCAACTAAAATTTCAAACCAATCGCGAAAAGGGAAAAACTCATAATATTAAAGTGAAAACAACTCACTATTAATATAAGCTATTTTATATAAAATTAAAGTAAAGTCGTCGTGAAGATAATTTAATGGTAAATGATATCTTATAAAACTAAAAGCAAAATTGTCATGAAGATAATTTAACAACAGAAAATGATATCTATTCCAGACTTAAAGAAAAGGAAAAAGAAAAAAGAAAAACCAGCTCGTTGAACTAATAAACCATATAATAAACCACAAAATAAAAATTAACTTAATCTAAATGATAATTAGCCAAAATAAAAAATAAAATCCATTTAGTTACAAAATAAAATATAAATAGATAGAGCAAGACAACAATGGCCAAATCTCCTAAACAACTGCCATACTTGTCACTTGTCACTGAGCTCTCTACCCTTATCCATTCTTGGCAATACCAGAGGAACAGGAAGAATCAAGAATGAGAGCGGGCATGGCTGCTTCGCTTTCATCTTCTCCCTACACATGCTCCTCCAAATCCATTATTCTGCGCAAGGGTTACCCCAAGATCAAAGTTGGAAGGAATTGCTTCAGAATTTCTGCCTCCTCAACCTCTGTTCTTGCCGGCGGCTCTCCTCTTCTTCAAGCAGCCGCCAAACATACTGTATGGTTTTCGAGTAGCAAGCATCTTTCCGATATGTTTTGATTGATGGGGTTCTTGTACTTTGCTCGTTCTGGGTAGAGAAATGCATGAGCTGTGTGTTTTAGGGCTCTTATTGGTGTAATGTGACCGTAATCAAGGCGCAGTGTTGTTTGGATTTTTGTGTGTGAGCTTACTTAGCGTATAGAATTGGTGAATTAATCAGAGGAAATGGGGATGATTAATAGGGGAGAATCAGAGATTACAGAGATTCGTTGTACTTATAATTGCATGCAAATAAAGTGCGAGGATTGAGAGTGAGGTGTTGGCATTGAAAAGCTGTGCATTACTCTTTATGCACCCTGGTGGGAAAAACTGGCTGAAATAGGGATGAAGGAGTAGAACATGAAATTGAGAAATCTCAAAAGGGGATGGTGGAATGATTGATAGATAGTCATTCAAGGAGTGAAATTGAAATGTTTAGAGTCGATGATTTTGTTTTGCGATCATTTGATCTATACGTGAACTAATTTAGTAAATGGTTGTGCTAATTAGAGAGTATATGCTGAAGGAGAAATGATTGCCGTGAGTTTTTGTAATTCTAGGTGGATGCGTACATACAAAGTGGAATGGTTGTTGGCCTGGGGTCTGGTCAGGCTTCTGGCATGGCCATTCAATATCTTGGTCGGCTGCTTCGAACAGGAGCTTTAAAAGATATAGTAGGGATACCCATGTGCGTTACTATCCTTTGAATTAACTGACCGTGTACTTTTCGTTCTTAATGTCAATATTTCTGAAAGAGAAACTGACTGTCTTTTATGTACTCTTCATTCTTAACGCACTGTATCAGTTCTTGGCTTGATGCAGGTCCATAACAAGTGCGAGTGAAGCTGCCAAGGCAGGGATTCCATTAGACCAGTTCAATGATAGTTCTCAAGTGAGCTAAACATTTAATTCTTAACTTATCGTGCTCTTTACTGGAGTGCATTTTTAAGCCAAGGCTGTCTCCAAGTTTAGTTATGAAGAGAAAATCTTCAAAGGGTAGATGAGAGACTCCTCATATTTGTTTAACCTTTCTTTATCATTGGGATGCATTAATGAAATCAGAATAGATTGCAGAGTTTCTGTGGCCTCCCAAAATATAAGAAACTCAGATAATGGATCAAGGATCCCCAATTTATTCTGGATATTATTACTGAGATTCTCATAAGAACTCTGATACCCTGTTAAGTGGTAATTGTGGTGAATTCAATTAACCCAAATAGGAGTTACATAATCCCTTATGGTGAATAGAATAGAACTGCATTCTAAATATGCTTCAAAGGGTTTTGGGCCTTAAAGGTGAAAAGTTCATTTTTCCCCAGTGACATAAGAGATTATTTATATTGTGAACATTTTTTCTATCAAAAATGGTACTTATCAAATTTTTAATTTTTGGAATTTTGTTTATTTTACTTAATGTTAGATCTCGATCAAGTAAATAATAAGTGTGTTTTTTTGTAGATTGATTTTTCATTTGATGATGCTGATATTATAGAAGAAGGAACGCTAATTGCTGTCATTGGGCATAGGAACTCGCAAGTTGAAGAGTCAATAATCCATGAGAAGGTGAATAAATTCTTATATGTCCTAATTTTTCCAAAAGCTCCCAAGTCAATGGGCTTATAATTTTCGACCTAGAGTAGGGAAAAGATGATGGAGTCTGGAAGGTCTGATTATTTATATTTATCTGTAACAATTTTGATTTTTAATATATGACATTAATTTGGTGTCAATGATATATCAAGACTTAAAATCCTGCAAGACCTTGTATTTATATAATTCTTATGTTAAATGTTCATTTCTTGTCTTTCATGTATCTGCAGTCTATATTAAATGCCTCCAACCAGCTTGCATTCATGATCAAAGAAAGCCAATATATGGATGGCCCAGAGGGTTCAATTCCAGTTCTAGTGAATTCTGTGAGAAGAAATCAAAATATCATCTATTGCATGGAATATATATGATATAGACTATCAGATGGCTAATGAAGAAATACTTAAATTTATTTTCAGCTTAATTGGATGCAAACTGCTGAAGAAATTGACGATCTCTTCTTAGGCGATGCAGAGGTAAGCTTTTTACTGGCACAAATTACAATGTTGTCAAACTTTACATGCTATCTTTACTAAGAGAACTTGCTTGATTTTCTTATTTAGCTATATAAAGCTCAGAGGGCGAACTCGTTAGTTGACCTGCTTATTAATAGATTATATATCTAAGAACCTTATAGTTTTATACACATACACAGCATGCATATTATTGGTTTGCTATATTAATTAATGTAAACTGTGACAAAGATAATTCTAATGTTTGTAACTTTGTACACTAATCAAGTTTTTAAAAACAAAAGAAATGAAAATAAATGGTCAAAATTCAAAGTGTTGCTAGGATTACTTGCAGATCAAAAAGTTTAAATTGTTTCATCTGATATGTTTATTTCAATTTTGAACAACTCTTTGTAAATATATGGCCTAAATACATATCCTGTTGAACTGCTCAACATATGGAAATATTGATTCATTTGCTCTCCTTTGTTATTAGCTATGTATCTTCTATGAGGGGGAACACAAATCAAAAGAGGTCCTTATTCTGTAAAAGTAACCTAGTAATTTTATTTGGTCAAGAAAATGAATGATGTTCCCCAGTGAGAGATGTCGATCATAAACATCTTCAATATCGAAACGTAACCCTTGGTTCCTAAGCATCAATATTTCAGCAGGTGGAGAAAACAAAGAACTATTCATTTAGTTATTTTAACAGTTCTACGTCAGATTATTTAAGCTTTGCCATAACATTGATTTTTCCAAATTATCAACAACAAGGTATGGAGGAGGCCATCGATTGGGCATGCAGGTCCCCTCGGGGGCGACTTCCCACTTGTCACTAGTGAAGGCCATAACGTTCTGGATGTCATATTTACATCTCCAATATCAAGCTTAGGTGTGAGATAATTTTTTTTCCCTCTGCTTTCATCCCTTCACAGATGTCATACAATGGTTTCTTATGACATGAAATGCATTTGCAGCTGAAGTAGCAGAAAGTCTGGTTCAGATCGATGGAGTTGTAGATCGTGGAGTCATTTCCAAGTTTCCGTAAGTATTCCTCTCAATTTCTTCACTTTTTTGCTCAAATGGCATTCTTCTTGATTGGTCCTTACCCCATTTTCAGAATTATCCTTCCAGCAGCTTCAAGTCCAATCGGTTTACTTTGTTGAATTGGTGTTGTTTCTAAGCAGAGAAACATTACTTCTGAATTATACTTAATTCCACGTTCATTTTGGTAGGAGTTAGGAATCATCTTTTCTGCTCAACCATCACATGCCTTAACGATTCAATGCCGAGAACATTTTTTGGATCATAGCAGGCTGGCTTTAGATTCTGATAAGTTGAATTCTTCCTTATACTTCCTTTATGGGTTACAGTTGCACAGCAGTGATTGCATCAGAAAGCGGGCTGCAAATCGTCGATAATCTGCAGAGGAATATGGCATAGGGTGATGATTGCAGTGTACAGACCAAAGCCATCACAGGTAATTTTGCATGTTCCCGATGCCCCAACATAAATTTTGTGGAAATTATGTAAACCATTTCAAGGGCTACATAAAATATTTCCCTTCTACTGGTATTAGATGAATCTATTGGTAATAGTTGACGTTCAAAATATTCAATTTTACGTCATGCTAGATCTATATATTCATCGCAGAGTACTTTATATATCTCGTCAACCATTTGCCTGTACATGATGACACTTTTTATGTAGAATGTCAAGTGATTTGTGTATTGATTTACAGGTGTCACACAAATTTAAACTGAAATCGCATTCCAATCATTAGTAAACAGTCACTGATAATCTTCAAATTACACCTTACAAATTTTATTCTCAGTCCAATTCTCTTCTATTATCATTTCCATTTAGTAAAACATGGACTCTGAAGATTGAAGACAAGAAAGTGTGAAATGGGCTCTAGCTGTACACTTTTTTCCTTTTCTTTTCTAGATGAAGTTGACCCCTTGTAGAAACGAAGGATTGGTTGTTCACATACTTCTTACGAACAAGCAATGCCTTATAAGAGCCTGCCGTTGAGCCATATTGAATAGCAGCAATATCATTCCCACAAGAATCCAAGGAGTAAAACCACCAATTTCTCCAGCCTCTGCCTTGTGCTCAAAAATGGTCGGGACACGGCAGCCTGGACACCCCAACTTCCTGGCAGAGACTCCTGCTGAGTCCTTATGAGTCAACCAACTCACCACCACGAGTAAGGCGACTGGCGCCGCTCGTAAAGCCCAACCACCACAAACCAACCTTCTGGGGCTGGGATTTGCAATGGGATTGCAGAGGACCTTACAGCGGCCAGCACAATTGTAGTACAGAGCAGGCCTTGCAAACAGGAAGTAGGAGAAGAAACGACCTGTGGGGCCATGGATGGTGAAGATGAGAACCAGTAGGAGAAGAGAAGGGAAGGGTGAGGGATCAGAAGTTAGAAAATGTGCGAAAGAGGAGAAGGCTTTTGGCATTATAGGAATCATGGGACCAGAGAGAGTTGCTTGAAAAGTTTGACGTCCTACAGAAGTTGGCGGTTTGGGTAAATTAAGGTTTGAAATTCCAACTGTAATTTGACAGTTTTGATCTGGTCGGCAACTGATGAGAGATGACGTGGAGGATTAACTGTAGGAACAAGAGGTGATCTTTTGACATTGTAACTGCTTTCGTCTCCAAAGCCCAAATTTCATTCCTTTACTGATAAGAAGAAAAGGAGATGGAAAAAAAAGGAATCTCTATTTTTGTAGCCTGTAAAATTAAGCTAACTCATGGTTAAGGTTGAAAAAACTCATATGAGTTTATTCAAATGGAAAGTTTGACTATTTACTTTTTAACAAAATGATATTTTACTATGGCAATTCAACCCATTGCTTAACTCATCAATAAATCAAAAGTTTGAGTTTAACTTAAACTATAGTAAACTTAATGTTTTCAATTCATACTTTAGCTTGATCTTCACTTATATTGGCTTCTATCAAATGTTGGCCAAATAAAGGACAATGATCCAAGAGATGCTACCCCCTCTATGACTCAGGCATTGATTATTAATAACCAATTTCATATCCAATACATAATAACAAATGGAATGGCTACATATACCACAAACAATAATGTAATATAAAGGAGATGTTACAAAAATGAAGATGGTAATGGTATTCTCCTACTTCTATGTGAGCAAACAAGTAATCCTCAAGTCAGTACCACAAATGATCTTCCTCTCTGCTATCATCAATGTGCTTCAAGATGACATGACCAAAGAGTTCCCATAGCCATTGAGATGCGACTTTTGCCACCTCCACGCTACCTGTAAACTTTCTTGAAGTTCGGTGTGTTGTGCTGTCCAGTTCAGTTCGTTCTTTATTTTAGTTGGGTTGCTGAATACTTCGGCGTAGTCACCCGGTCGACGAGGGAGATAGTCGACTTTGATGTCCACCCCGGTTGCCTTCTTGCATGCCTCCACGAACTCCTTCACTGATCGACCTGATCGAAGACATCCGAAAACTACCTTGAGATTGCCATGGCTAGGTTGCCTCATCAATGATATGATAAGTTGAGAAGATAAAAAGGAAAAAGTATGCTACAGCAGCATTTTCTTTCATCCTACCTTTTCCCGTCCCGACATTATAGATTCCGACTTTGCCAGGGGTTGCTTTCTCCAGAGCTTTTACATGAGCGTCCACGAGATCAGTGACGTCGATATAATCACGTATGCAGGTGCCGTCATGCGTTTTATAGTCTGTTCCTTTGACCTGATAACATCATAAGAAAAGAAAACTAATTACCAACTTAATCACATATCTCAAAACATTCACTCCCCAGATGCATTCGCTACTACAGTGAGTTCATGCTCCCTGAACTATATTTTTCGATAGATGAATGAACAAATTACGTTAAGCCCAGAAATAATGCCACGGGCAGCATCAAAACAAGCACCCGAAATACGTCCATGCTCGCGAAGCTCGGGTCTAGGAGCTTCCCCTAATCTGCCCTCTGGATCAGAACCAATCACATTGAAATATCTGGACAATTTCAAAACAGATTCGTGAATCAGATGCTTACTCAGATGATTCACTCAACAAAAACTTGCTAAAAGGTGATTCCAAATTCATCCTTTTCTCATATTTAGTGCAGTAAATTACCAAAAACAACTGAAACTTGAAAACTTTTGAAGCATAGTTATGGAAATAAACTGTGTAGTGTAGTCTGTGGTTTGGTGTTGCAAATTCTAAGAAAATAGAAACAGGGGGAGGGGGAAAAAATGACCACCCTTAATTAAAATCAGTTATCTGGTAAAATAACAACCTTAAGATCATGACTGCCATATTTGAATTTTTTGAAAAATCAAGGATGATTTCTTCTGCCATCTTCTTGGCCTTTCCATAAGGATTAATTGGGGCCTGCAACCAAGCAAATCAAATTTTAATTCTAGTCTGCATCCCTTCTCAGATAATAGCATGTTGAAGGGGTAAGCCAAATATAATGTAAACATGGCCAACCAAATCCCCCCATGAATTGTATGTACGAATACAAAAATGGCACAGCGAACCTGAGGAGTTTCTTCGGTAATCGGCATTTTCTCTGGCTCTCCATATGTGGCACATGTACTAGAATATATCAATGTCTTCACACCATGAGCTGCCATTGATTCTAATACTGTCAAGGTATTTGAAGTAATATTGTGATAATACCTACACAACAAGAAATACCATGCTCAGAATTGATTAACTTATCGAAACCAGAACTAGAAAACAATCCACCTCAAAGATTATGAGCAACTGTTTGTGACCCTCTTTCCCAATTATAGCTTCTTTTCATTCACTTTCAGAGATGTATATCAACAGGTTGACAAGTAGAATGGAGTTGGGCAATTTTTTTAAAACCATCCATCTATTTATACAATGCTAGCTGTATATCAATATGCATATACATCAACTATCAAATTCATTTATGGCAAGGAAACCGATCTTTAACCGCAATCTACATGAATGATGTGAGAGACCAGAGACCAGAGACCAAGGAAAAAACAATTATAACAGCATATAAACTTACTTCAGCGGATCAAGTGTGCTTTCCCCGACGTATGCGACTGCTGCAAAATGCATGACTGCATCAAAAGCATTCTCTGAAAATATTTTATCAACCTGAACAAATCAGTTAAGGAAACATTGGTTGTTCAAGGCAGCTAGAGTTATTATGAGGATTCTTCAGAAATATATATCATAATGAGCCACATTGAAAGGATACAGCTTTTGCATCTCCTAGGTCAGCATATATGAATTGAAGCCTTCCATAGTCTGGAAACAGTTCTTGCAAAACCTTTACAGCACCAAGATTTCCTCGTGATAGATTGTCCTGTAAAGAAGGACGTATTCACAAATGAGGGCATTGCATGGAGATACGAAAACTGTAAGATCGATAAAATCTATATGGACATACCACTATTGTTACACGGTACGAGTCCTTTAATAGTCGAAGAGCAGCATGTGAACCGATATATCCCGCACCTCCTGTTACCAGAACATGAGTGACTCCTGGTTGATGATTTGCAAACTGGAAGGAAGAGAACATTGACAACAACTTTAGAAAGAGGTGATACTCAGCACTTATTTTTTTAAGGATAGTTCTTTCATTACTCGAGAAAGGGGGATAAGAAGTAAGAAATCATCTCGATAAGCCAAGCAGTTTACAAGAAAAAATCCCAAAAGATGGGTAATTACAAAATTGATTAGAGAGAACAGAACACCAAATATAAGAGCTTATCTGAGAGAGAGAGAGAGATGAGACTGAATAACTTTACTGCTGCAGATCACAAATTCCAAACTCGAATTGGAGAACAACAGAGTTGAAGAAAGTTCCATTATAAGAGTAACACAGATAACTAAGAACTGAAAAAAATTCGTTGAAAATGAAAACAACGTTTCAAACAGGAAGAGAGGAGAACAAACGATGAATAAAAACAAATCTTGGATCTAACAATTTTAAGCCTCTTAAGTCAGAACCACAATTAAATAATGATGGCATCGGCCGCATGTTAGAATCAACCTACCAATAAAATACACACAATCCTGCACTTCTCAGGAATGATTCTCAGTAAAAGAGTTGAAGATTTCTCCAACAGCAATTTTAGACTTTCAATTGAAAAGAATATAATAAGCAATGGGATTAACTGTCACCAAAATAGTACATAAAGTCAAAAAGTGTCGATAAGAGATTGAGCACTACCGGGGTTGGAGTGCTAAAATTTGGGGATTGCTTAAGCATAATAATACAAATTGCTGTAAGTGAAGCAGCCAAAACGATCTTTCCTACAAAATTGCTCTTTCGTTTGGGATCTGGATACTCCATACCTATAAGTGAAAGAAGGTGAATGTAAGAAAAACAAGTAAATAAGCTTCAAGTGTTAAAGAGCTACAACTTTCACATCTTTTTAAGCAACTTAAAAGTTTGAAACACCAATGCAGTCAACTTGCGAATAAACATGGATATTTTGAGAACACTAAAGAAGAGAAGACAAACTCACCTCCAAATGACACAGATCTACCAAACCTTGATTGATTTCTCGCCCTACCAAAACTGAGCATTTGGGAAATTGCTCTATCTTTCGTTATATTATGGGAAAGTAACTCGATGAGTTAACTTAAATGATGGAGTTGTGGTGTAATATACTGCAAAATAAATACCGAAAATTTATCAATATACTCTATAACACTTGAACAGATAAAACGTTTATAAACAAAACTACTAGACCATAAGCCTCGCTATCCTTATTTACCACCATTTTCATTCTACTGACAAATTTTTCTAGTAATCCAGTAACGAACATGAACCCTCAACTCAAGATATGATCACTATTAAATCTCAAACTTCTGAATGAGAAAGACAGAGAGATTAAGAGGGGTAACCCACAAGTAGAAATCAAAAGCAAATTAAAAAAAAGGGTAAAAAAAAACTCGTAGTTTTGAAAACTTTTAGGAAATACAACAAAAAATAATTTCTTTTTCAAACTACAAAACAAGAACGAAAGAAACAAAAAGAGAGAAAAAGAAAAATAACCACCTCCAGTTCATAGATGCAGATAAAATTGGAAAAAATATAATGCAAATTATACCAATCCACCATGCATTAATAGAAACAGAACAATAAGATCACAAAGTTCAAATTACAGATCAGTTCTCATTCCAAGTTACATAGTAAGAAAGGCAAGAGAAATTTATGTTAAAAAACAACGATCACCTCACCGATCACTTTCATTTTTTCACCAAGAATTACAGGTAAAGACCAAAGAAATCAATCCCTAACAGAAACTTACGGGGAGCAAAGGAAGAGAATCACGCATAAAAACAAAAACGGAAAAGAAGTAACGTCACTGATCGAAGAAACGTTCACGTTGAGCAAACTGAACTGCTCTGATCGCAAAGAAGTAACTGAAAAGAGAAAAGAAATGCCAAACCAGAAGCAAACAGTAGAAAGAAAAACATACACAAACATAACCCCATTTCGATTTCCATTTCTGATTCCAGAGAATCAAAAGATCCTCAAAAGTAAACATCACAGAAAGAAAAGCAAGCAAATCAGCCCGACGAATTAAAAAGAAAACATATTGCATCAATCAAACCAAGACCCATAAAAGAAAAACACCAAGAACAAAAGAGAACGTTACCAGAAATTGATTAGAAGTCCCGTTGACGAATGAAATTGTAAGAAAATGACAGAAAGAACCAAAATAGAAATGTGGGTGTCTCAGAAAATTAAGGGAGAAGGAAAAGGACGTAGAATGGGGTCCTGGGTTTCAAAAGAAACGTTGGCAATCGAAACAGAAAGTAAATGGAAATAAATGAGAAGCAAAGAAAGAAGGGAAAGGGAGAGAAAAGAGGGAAGAAACGAAGGCGAAGTTCTGTTTGCCGTTTGGAGCGGACGGAGCAGGAGCCGTCTCTGTGTCCACATTGTATTTGCGCGTATACTACACGGCAAACAGCTCTGCTTTCTGAATTCCCAATCAAACTTTTTCTAGAGAAATTCAACCAAATAATTCACAAAGTTTTTTCTTTTCAATCCAGAATTGTGGGTAGATTATTAGATTCATCGTATCAATATACATATGTATATAATTTATAATTTTTTTTTTTGATTTGTAGAAGAACCCATGTTTTAAATCTGTTGTATATCATGGTAAAGGGAGAGAGAGTTAAATCATTTTGGACCCATAAGCAACACCACACCCAATTTTAACTAATTTGATATTGGAGAACCGTAATTCAATATATTTTTTTATTATCTGAGAGTCAGAGTTTTGCTCCCCTATACATAGCGAAACTCACGTCCGTTCTAAGATTCAGACCTAAAAAATATCAAAGTTTTTTGATATTAGATTCATTGGAAGGTTCGAATTTGTGACATCTAAGCCGGACCAAGACAATCCAAGTCCTTGCTAATAAATCAGTATCTATCTAGCTTCAGTTTTCTTTATGAACCACAGTTTAAAGTTTGAAAAATGTAATTAAACTTTGAACCCCTAAGATAAAATAGCACAACTTAATAACTAAAGGAGAGTCGTTGTGCCTTGTTTTCGTTTCTAAGTTTAAAGACTAGATGGATATAACACTTGGGTTATAGCGTTTGAAATAGTCAACTAATTAAATGCCACGTGGCAACAATATCAGCAAAATGACGGATGTAGGTCTCACAATGTCTGTGACTTTATTGTGGGCCATGTTCCCTTTTGTTCATTAATTTCACACTTTCTAGACATTTAAATATCACAATAATAATATTCATATTTTAAATTTCTGCATTTTTTCCTTAATTTTTGACATTTCTTTTTTGAGGAAAAAAAAAACTAGGAAGGAAAAATAAATCACTGAAACTAGCGTAATTGAAATTCCCTCGCCTCACTATTTAAATATTATAGTATATGTTCGAATTATTCTATCAAGACTCCATTATTAAATTCTTAATAATTTTTAAATACGATTCTTTAATATATAAATTTGATTATAATCTAATTTATTCACATTGAGATGATAATATCGATTAGCAGCATTTCTTTTTTTACTTGTAAACTTGAAAAAGAAGCTACGTTTTTTTTATGTAATTGCACTAAGCAAGTTTCGATGTATTAATTAAGTTAGGTCCATAGTCATAATTATTTAGTACCAAACATGAGGCTTCATAATTTTTTTTTGGAAAGGGTGTTTAAGAAAGCAATGATTAGTGAGAGATAAAAGTCTTCAATTGGTTGTCAATGACCTGTTTGGTTAGTTTAAAAATAAAAGATAAAATAGAAAAATAATATATTAGTTAAAATGTGAATAATAGATAGAAAAAAACTCTAAATTATTTCAAGGGGTGGCAAAATTATTTTTTATGCACACTTTTAATATACAAAAAAGAGTAACTTTAAAAAATATATATGTTTTAACATATTTTTTCACAAGGAGGGACAATTACCCTCCTTACCACGCGAAAGATTCAATACGACCACAAATTTTCCTACGGGCTACTTATATGTGCTCAGAAATTTCATCTTCGCATATCTCATTCGTTCTTTTTAATTAAAGAAATATTTACTCTTAATAGGACGTGTATACTCTTAAATAAAAAAAAAAGAAAAAAGAAAAGGGAAGCTACGTTTAACCATAAATATAGAAGACAAATTACATGTGTTTAGCAAAATGTGATGTTTAGATGATGATACATAGAAATATAAGTTTTATTGTTATTATTTTAAAAATAAAAAAGAATAATAAATGACTTTCCTAGACTAAAAATGATAAAAGAAAGGGACCAAAATAATCCATTTTTAAAAGTATATGGACGAAAATATACAATTTTTTTTTATATCCGTGAGTGTTCGGGCCAACTTACGCGCACATCGATAAATCTCACGGGGCAACGTCTGACCTTACAACATTTGGTATTGAGAAACACATAGGAATTACCAATTCTTAAAGTAGGTGACCATCATGGACTAAAATATACCTTTTGAAATACACAAGCAAAATAGTTAAATTTTGAAGTATATATCAGTCGAATATGAATGAATGCTTTGAAAGGAGAAAAGAACGATTTAAAAGGAGGAAGAATGAAATTAAAGGTACTAAAAAATAGAATTTAAAATTTAAAAGCCACATGTATCTCAAATGCTTACCAACCAAATAGTTGTGTGTGTCTGTTTAGGGATCATAATGAAAATTGACATGCCAACTTGCTTATATTTGCATATATTCTTCCCCTTTATTCATAGGCTGGTCTACTTTTGGTCTTATTGGACCATTTCATTTCATTTTAAACAAAACATTATACTCTCCCCTCTCTCTCCCTTAAATTATGATTTCAATAAATTATGACCTTTGTTTATGAAAAATCTAAGCATTTGGTAAATATTTATGTTTCTTGTTTCTTCACTTTTCATTGTGTAGAAATTTTTGGAACAATATAATCAAGTTTTCTTGTTTATTGTTACTATTTCCACTTTTTCAAATATATAAATATAAATATTAACTTATAAGTATTAAAAAAGAAATTTTATATAAAAAAATAAACATTTTAGATAACAAGAAATAACAAATAAGTAGCTAATGTTTATGTTTTTTTCAATAAAAAAAAAACAAGAAACGGTTACCAACACACAGTTATATTTCATTTAATAAAATAGAAAAAACGAGAAACGAGAAAAAAAATGCTACTAAACGAACCTTTTAACATCCATCTTTCTCCTCTATTGGATGAAGATCTTTTGTTCACATGAAGGAAAATTGTAAAAAAACCTTCTCTCGTATCCATTTCAAACCGAAAGTTTCTCGCCCAAGTTATTTAAGGATATATCTTTGTCGTCCCTAAAAAGGTGTTTGGTTCACGAGTTAAGTTTATGTAACATAGAGTGAAAAACAAAGTTTATACTTAGTAAACATTTATGAATCGTAAATCTTCAAATTCATGGTTTGTTTATCTCCTGGACTACGTAAACTCAAGCATATACAATATATATTTTATACAACAATATATACTAAAAATTTATGAATCATAAATCTTCAAAATTCCTAGAATTTAGCGTTTCCTTGTAGGATCCAAATATAAATTATATAAATTTAGATTTACCCAACTCCAAACTTCATGAATCTATGTATATTAAAATTACTAGTTAAAAATCTTATAATTAACTCCTTTCAAGTTTGATGTCGTTGGTTTGAGTGTAACTTAACTAGTCAATACATTGATAATTTGAAGTTAGTTCAGCTGATTAAAATACCAATAATCTCCCTAAAAATTGATGATTCGAATTTCCGCCCCTACTTTGTAATTCTAAGGGAAAAAAAAAAAAGAGAGGAAATTCTGTTGCCATGGGCCTTTAACTAAGAGATGGTGACCCAATGGCAAAAATTGAGGACCAAATTTAATGCTTGCTCTCTCACCTCTAAAGAAAAAATCAGATGGAACAATTTCTATCACAAAATTTAATGCTTGCCCCTGGGGATGGGTCGTTGAGATCCTCTTGGCATCCCCACGTGCATCCTATTTTGTTTTGGTGTTTTAGGAAATTATAAAAATAGCACAAAAAAGAATACGTATTTATAATTATAGCATTAAATTTAAAATTTTATAAAGTTAGCAATCAATCACACGAGATCTACTAGAAGTCACTTTTTCTTTAGTACAACTCTTAAGGATATGAAGGGTTGAACTTTCGATATCGATAGAAGGAATATATGTCAATTACTACTGAACTATACTCATGTTGACACTGAAAGTCACTTTTCTGCCAAAATTTATATAGACTGAAATTTGTCAATTGGCGCCATGATTCAAGTGCCACTTTTTCGATACTAGTATTTTTTATGGCATACCTCTGCTGATACATAATTGAATACGAGTGCTCTTTTATTGAATATAGTACTACTCTAAGAAGCACATATACAGATACAAAATAATACAGATAGGACGATACGTTGATTTTAAAAAAAAAGTAGGACACGACACGTTGGAAAACATATGCATTATTAGAGGAGAAAACGCAAATTAAAGGGAAAAAAATTATGGAATGGAAGAAAAAACAGATGAGAAAACGCAAATACATAAAGGAGAATAAGAAGCAAAGACTACAGAGAATTGTTTGTGAGAGACCGGAGAAGAAAAGGAGAACAAAACAAAAATTACCGGAGAAAATAAAAAATATATATATAGAGAAAGATTTTTTCTTTTTTTTGAACATCTTATCAAATTTTAAGTATAATAGAATAGCAAATAGTCTCCTACCCTTCCCTATTCCTTAAATCAAGAACAAGGAATATCAATTTCCATTTTCTAGTTCCTTTTCTAATGCATAAAATAAGCACAAGAGAATGAACAAAAGAGAAGTATTTCCTCTCCAATTATGTTAAATATGCATAACAGCAGCAGATTGGGTTTCATCTCTACAAACAATTTGTTCAAGTTTACTGTCAGCTACAGTAATTCTAGTTCTACAAAATTCTTTACAACTAGATAACAAATTCTGAAACACTGGATTTGGAGGGTGGTTTCCAGTAAGAAGCATACTAACCTTATGAATTAACAGAATAACAGTATCCTTGGGAAACCCTTTCTCTTTGAGTAAATTTAGCCAAGCCGACTCAGAGAAATGATGTGCATCGCTGCTATGGTGATTGGAAATGCAAGAGAGAGCTTCAGAGTAGTCGCCCCGAGCAAGCTTCATGCAAAACCGTTCTTTGACGAGCGGAGGCGGCAGCGTCCGATCAGTCTGAGCAAGGTGCTTCCATGTTGTTTCCAGTATCTCATCCTGTCAAGCAGAAGATACTTAATAAACGAGAGCAAGTAAAAATTTGAAATGATCATCAACTTGCAGTTAGCTACTCTTACAAAATCTGGTTCAAAACTTTCAAGTATCGGTATGATCACCGGGTAAACAAACAGCAGTAAACTTTGGGTATAAAATTGAACCCCATGATATACATTTAAGCATTCAGTAGACGTGCAACATACAATTCAATCTTGACTTTAACTACTGCAAGATTTTGATCAATGTCAAAAATCTTAGAAAAATGTCAGTAATGCTTCCAATATTTTCATGATACTGTTTCTTTTATTATCTTCAGATTCCTTTGACATCAGCGGAATCTTTAAAAACTATCATCAATGATAAGCAACTTTCGTATAGCCGTTAACTATTCTAAAATTAGAATGGCTACTGGTGGGATGGATAACATATGAAGTAAGAAGGAGAAACAAGAAAAACATAGAAAAAGTTTGAATTTAAAACGTCTACCTTTCCAGCCCTTCCAGCCTCCAATATCATCCGCAGATGCCGTTTTGGGTTGAAGTGATACCCATAAAGAAACATTTGGTTATAGAAATAGCCAAAATCATCCCATCTCTTTACTGCAAAAAATGCATCTAGCATGATGTTGAACGTGTAGATATCTGGTAATACTCGATCCTTGTAGTCAGATATAGTGCTGATACTTTGTCCGCTTTCCGACAAATTCTGAAATAGCTCTCTAGCTTCTTCGAACATCCCATGATCCAGGTATCCTTTCAGCAAGATATTATAAGTAACAAGATTTGGGGAACAGAAGGCCTTCATGTGGTTGAATATATATACTGCACTATCTAAGTTTTTTGAGTCCAAACAAGCTTGAATCAAACCGGTGTAAGTCACTACAAGAGGCTTATTGGCAACTTTACATATCTTCTCAATCTGTAAACATAGCAAGGCCGTTGTGAAGAACATATATTTAGTAATTATCATTCGTGTATATACACAACAACCAGGAAGCTCAGCCAGACGAATTGACGGTTAATCTCGTTTCATTAATTTTATGGACAGGCAGACAAGGTTGATTTATTGTCCGTGGCCATCTAAATATGGCAATAATTATCATCCACGAATAGGTCGAAAATCTCAACCTTTGTATCAATCAGTTTGAGAAATCCACTTCAATTTGTTCTTAAATGACGCTCCACAGCACAATACAATACTAAAAATGAAGTCTTACATATAAAAGTAGCATTTGAAGACATTTAATCTTATAGCATTTGAAGACATTTAATCATAGAACTTATAGAACATGTAAATATTGTAAATATAACTATTTATTTATCCGTTTAGCCATCTCAACTGGAAATAAACCTCCAACAACATCTATTCGCTATCAGTATTATTCAGATCAAGAGGACTAGCTAAACAAGTCCATCCTATATTTTCTAGCACATATTTTATGCTACAAAACCTCTAGTTTCCCAGAAAATCTCGTGTTGTATCATTCAACAGCCTAAGTATCATTTCTTTCATAAGGTCCTAAGGTACCCAAGTTTCAGGGTTATGATAACGTTACACTTTTCAAGGTGTCCAATTTCGGTTTAATGAAAAAATCAAACTCAACACCTATCTCAAAAAAAAAAAAATGATATAGATGAGAAATAATCAAATAAGATTCTTAGAAAAACAATCAAAATTTAAATTTAAACAGAATAGAAAATAATAATAATAATAATAAAAGGCTGAAAGAAACGACAAAAATTTATTAGGAAATACCTGCATTAGGGCTTCTTTGCACCTTCCAGCACTGCAAAGACAACGAGCAAAGTCGTAATAAAGAGCTGCAGACCCTACTATCCCTCGTCTTTCCATGTTCTGAATGGCCAACACAGCCTCATCTGTTTTACCCTCTTTTGAAAGTGTATTGACAAGAACTGGAAGTTTGACAAGCGAAGTGCCATTAGTATTTAGATAATAGATGGTAGGAAACAAACGAGCATACTCAAATACCTTTATATGTTAAAGCATTAGGAATGGAAGATCTCTGCACTTTTCTGAAGAACTCATGTACTAAGTTGTACTTGCCACATTCAAGCATCACCTGTCAATCATTGGAGAAGGTTTCATTTCATAAATAGAATATTCAACTCCAGGCTTACTTGCATATAAAATGGAAATACAGCATAATCAAATAAACCAATTTTAGCTTATTAAAATGCGTTCACACACTTCAACAACAAACAGAATCCTAGACCAAACTGCCAAGCAAAATTAGACCAGGAAACATATTACTAAAATACGACTAAGAAGACATCAATTGTCAACATCAAAATTTTGCGAGTACACAACACAATTACATAAGCCATCGAAATCAAGCTACAAAATGTAAAATCAGATGCGAGTGAGCTGGCCGGCTAGGGCTGGTTTCATCAAATACATACTAAATCCTAAGTTATGGTAGTATGACTTCAAAAGTTAATAGTGCAAACCGATCAAATTATTGGTTTTTACCTAAATTAAACATCTAGGGGATGTTTAAGAGTTGACTTAAAAGCCAGGCTTTTGTTTTATAAATAAAAAAAACTTATCAAAATAATTGGTAGTGGGTTTTAGAAATTGAGTCCCTTAGTTTGTTCTCATGGGTGCATGAACTAAAAATTTCTTTCCAAAAATCATAAATTTGCAAACGATAATTTCAAGTACACATTAAACTCAACCTTCTACGAAATAGCTCATTAACGTCCTAATGAAGGATAGAAGCAACTAATCCTTCAAAAACTGCTCCTGATAAGACAAGGCATTATCTAACCACAAATGCATACTGACCAAGTCCAACCCCGCATTTTCTACACTTACCATTTAGTGCCTTACTTTAAAGTAACCTCTTACAAACAGGACTAATCCTCCTTCAAGACTCAAAACCCAATACGTCCACTTTGTGTCCATGAAATGCCATAAACCATTTCCTTTCTACTAATCTGAAAGTAAGGACCAGATTTTAACACTGACATCGGACTGGATTCAACGCAACTTAATGAGTGAAAATTCCTTCCTGGATGCATAAAATCAAGCATTTTTCATTTACAATATCTCAAGCATTAGGAAAATCATTCTGAATCTCAAAATAGATTTGCAAACCACATGAACAGAAGAATGAAAGTAAAGAATCAACTACCTCCATGACTAATCCATATGTTGACGTAGAAGGCTGTAGACCTTGTTTCTTTAATTCCTGCAAGACCCAAAATGCCCCTTCCCAATTCTTTCGCTTGACACAAGCATTTAAAACCTGGATGCAAGAAATAAAGAGGCTATCATGCAAATGAACTTTTATCTAAAGAAAAAGTAAATAGTTAACATACAGGATAAAAATTGTAACTTGAAAGAAAGCCATACAAGTTATATTTCCATCAAGAATTTACGTCAAATCATTTTGTTTATATTAGCATTTCACAGAAATAAATATGACAATGAGTTAATGTTATAAATTTGAAAAGGGAAATAGAAAAAATATTAATTTTAAAGAAAAACATATATAATTTAGGGGGAAGCAAATAGGGGAAAGCAATGGAGGAGATTTACCTCGATGACCAAGTAAATTAAAATACTATGAAAAAAATTAGAAAAAAGGGAAACGTCAGGTGTAAACGAGCGATTTGGGTGGAAAATTAAAATGCATAGAAAATAAACATGTTTTGAAGAAAATGAAAAGTTTGTTTCTTGTTTCAAAAAGAAAAAGAAGATTTAACTCAGTAATTTCATACCGTCTATATAAAATGTTAGACTTTCGTACAGAAAAGGAGGGGGGAAAAACCTCTGAAAGCTCATAAAATTTTAGATTCCTACTGACTTTCACTTCACTATATCTCTTTAGGTTTTTTAAATTTGTTTCAGGATTTTCTCCTTGTTTGATTGTCAAGAATTGGCGTTCCTTTGTGTAATATTCTCTCTTCTGTTGCGCATTTTGTTGTAGAGCCTAGTTTTTCAAAAGGTCTCTATATTTCTTTCATTTGTCTTAACTTTTATCCAAAAGAAAAAGAATAAGAGTAAGAAATTCAATCCTAAGAAGGTTTTTTGTAACTGCAGTCTTCTTTTGATCATACAAGATTGGAAATCTGTGATTGTATAGCTTTTCTTTGGGGAGGGTTCACTCTACCCTCTGCCTTCAGGCTGTACTTCCCCCCTTGTTTTGCAGGTTTTTTAATATATTCCCTTATGTTTCTCATAAAATATATATATATATATATATATATATATATATATATATATTCAAACCCAACCATGAATACAATATCTATATTTCTACTAAATAATAGAAAACACAATAAGTTTGTTCGCCAGATTCTTATCATAAATGAATTTCCATTTCTAAAAGTAAAAATTATAAGTGAAAAACTACGGGCTAGGAAAATATTTATAACAAGAATATAGCTCTTTCACATTATTACACCTCACATTATTACACCAAATTGCTCAATATCTAACGTTAACCAATTATTACCTGTAAAATATAAAATAAGGATGCCTAATAATTATGACTCACCGCATTATAGATAACAATATCAGGTTGCAGCCGTGGGTCCCACTTTTCAAGTGCCCCTGTCTTAAACTTCTTCTTTGGAGGAGACCGCATGCTATCAATCACGTCAAAGAGTTCCCTCATATATCCTGCTTGTCCAAGAGTGACAGCAATACTATGATATGCTACTAAGTCAGGATATGAGGAAAAGTGTTGCTGAATGCAAACGGAGATAAATCAACCAGGGTCAGTCTAATTCCATCAATTTCTTCATCTATATACATAGAGATCCACAGACCAAAACTGCAAAATTCTAATGAAGGTCTATCTGCCTACCTGCATTGCATGGAATACGTTAAGTGCCTCCACAGGTCTCCTTGCTTTTCCAAGTACATCAAGGGCAGTGGTGTATATAAATCTGGGCAGAAGTCAGAGAACATATATGGTGAGGGCAATGTAAGAAAGTAAATATCTTTTAAATTTTAATATTTTTTATGTTTTCTATTTTATTTGAATGATTATTTAGCATTATTGATGGTCTAGAATTCAATTGATTAGCATACAAATTCTTAAACTAAGATATGGATTCTGTCTAATCAGATTTTTTAGTATAACTGTATAAGACTCTTTACAAAAGGTTAGGTTGAAGACTTTATTTACATAAGAATAGATTAAGTATACAATCTGTTGAGCATATTTCCCTCTTCCACCCCTCTTTCATCGTTCCTTTTATCCTCCCCTGTCCTTATTGAACTTCCTTCTGGTGTCCTACATCTAAATGACATCAGAACAAGTTCTTTTCTTCCCTCAAGGCTCACTCTATTCACATTAAATCTTTGGATGCTGCTCATTGCATTTTCCTAACAACCAAAAGTCTTGAAAATGGAATTTTCTATGAGCATTTATGGTTAGCAATTAAACCCAATGGGTTAAAAATACATGTGAGTGCTAATTTAGCCCTTTACCACTTTTACCACTCAGGATTAAGCAACTACCGAAAGCAAAAATTGAATGATCCTATTAGAGTGATAATGACAATAATGTTAAGGATGGAATTGGAAATTATTTAAGAAAGTAATGGTTGATGGATCAATTTTATTTTCTTTTGCATTACTATACAATCATTGTCTGCAACATTATTGCCTGAGAACTTTTCTAAAACTTTTCACCACATTAATCAAAGGTGAAAAATAGGGAAACACCTTAGCTTATGTGACTTAAACCGTTCACGCATTTGAAGCCATTCGATGACTTGTAGCACTCGCTTCCAATTTCCTAACTTACCCAGAACTTGAATAACCCTTAATATTGAGTGATCTGAATATCTAATCTTTGCACTCCTCATCATTTGAGCAAACATCCACTCAGGCATATCAATGTCTGCACCGTTCAATCTGTTAAATGGAAGCACTTCAAATGAATCAATATGGAGAGACTATTGAAGCATTAAGTCATTAATACTATCTTTAATTAGTAAATGTGATTAAAATTGATATAATCCTCAAAATTCAAAAAATTGATAATTGTTTAATATTCTTGAAATCAACTCATAGTACATTTGCGTGCAGATCAGTAATTATATTAAAATCATAACCGATGTAAGGGATGACTTTCTGAGAGGTCTCAATACATCAAATAACTTGAGAACCAGCGATATATGTGTGAGAGAGAGAAAAAATATATAAAACAACAGGCTAATAACAGTTCATGACCATCATTTGAAAGCATCAACGTAAATCACAGTGGTATTGAGTTGTAGCCAAATGCAAATTCTAAAAGAATATCTCAATGATATTGTTGAAACAAGGATGAAGGGAAGGAGGGATGGAAGAAAAAAAAGGAGAAAATTTCATTTTTACCCCTGTATTTAGCTCAGTAAACTTCTATTTTCTTCGAATTGAACTCTAAGCTTAATTAAGTGGTAAAATTAGTACTCTTCAAAACTAAATAAGAAAATTACCTATAATTTATAAATTAGGTACATTTTAACTAACAAAACTCTCAAAATCAAGTCATATAAATGACTAAGCTTGACCATGAAAAAGGGCGTGCAAACTCAATAATAAAATGTCCAAACCAAGCTAAAAAAACATCTAACACTGTCAAAAGAACTAGTACCCACAAAAACAACCTCGTCCAACCATGGCAACACTCAAAACTAGTTAAGAAAAAAAATTAGAAATTACTTACTAAGTCGAGTATAAGGGTAAATAAGGATCCACAGCAGGATGAGAAAATGAATGCAAGTATACCACTTTGTCATGATAAACACAAATTTGTACCAAGTCAATTTTAAACTTTCAGCTAGAAAAGTGAGCAAGGGACACCAGACCTCTTAGAAAGCATCTGGATTCTCTCTTCCATTTCCATCTTTGAAACTCTTGGTTTATCCATGATGTCTAATGCATCGAAATTGTTCAAGGCTGCACGTTCTACCTCCAAGCTACTCTCTTCAGTAGATTCAATGAATGGCTTACCACTTTTGGATAACCCTTGGTAGGACTGCCCAGTTTTCTTTCCACTAACCTTCTCACCAGGAACATAGTTCCTTGCAAGCTGAACACCAGATTTCCCTACCTCCAGATCACCCTTAGCCAGTTTAGTGTCACCATCAGCCCAAATCCTTTCCACTGTTTTCATGGAACTTTCATCACATACTCTTTGTCTTTGTCTTTTGATATCCAATGTATTAGCCTTAGAACAAACTAATGCCTCATTGTTCAACCTTCTCACTTTCGGCTCAATGCAATCCAACCGGTTTCTTTTCCTTTGCTCTTCATGTTGTTTATCATTAACCTGTGAGTCAAAATGGGTTACCTTGCCTCTGAATTCATCCTTTGTTCTTGTAATTCCTTTCCTTTTGTTATCAAATTTGTTTTCCAACAGGTCCTTTTTACGTGTAACTCTCTCTGCATTATTGAACAACTTCTTCTGATCAACACGTTTAAACATGTTCTTTACATCCACATTACCTTGAACGTCAGTCACTTTGGTTTTTTCATTATCTATTTCAGAAACGGAAGAGCTTTCAGCACTCTTAGCACTCGCATTTTCCTTCATCTTCAGTTTATTAGGATCGTCCGGCTGCTTCTTATACCTACTAGTTCTAACGGACTCCATAACCCTCACATATTCATCGAACGATGGCTTAAATAAAAAATCGTTTTCAAGGACATTACCATTTTGCAACCGGATATCAGATTCTCCCTTTGACGAAACCCTAATTGCTCCACACTTATTTCCCCTGTACCGAAAAATTCTATTCTTTTCGTAACCAACATTTAGGCCAATTCCAGAAATCGGACTAGGAAATAACGAAAACCCAAATAAATTATGAGAACTCTGGGTACAATGTAGTGCCCGAAATCCATTTCTTTCACAACAAGGGATACACATATTTGCATTGGCCATTATTACTCCCACCATTTCGAGGTTACTCCTATTTCATGAATAAATCCAATACACTCCAGACGAACTCTTGGGCAGAAACACAAAATAAATATCAAAACACAAAAATAAAAGCAAGTCGAACAGCGAACAGTGAAACAAGAAAAATTAACTGCTCTTAATCTCGCGACACGATTAGATCATTATTCCCGGCTGCTCCTGTTCTATCTGCGGCTCAGAAAGCATTTCAGCTTCTCGCACCGACCTAATTCTCCGCGGCACACGCAGACAATACCTCAGCAATTCCGCGCCGTGATTATATAGAACCATTCATACCTTCTCCGGCAATCTGCGGCTCCGGAGGCATTTTAGTCTTCTCGCACCGACCTAATTCTCCGCGGCAAAGTCAGATAATACTTGACCTCTGCAATTCCGTGCCGTGATTGTATAGAACCGCCGACACCTTCTCCGGCCACCGGCGGCGGTGCACCGACAGGGACGAAAGTGAGTTTCTGCTTTGCAAGAACAGTACCAGAGGAGATTGGATATTCTCCGTACAAAAATCTCTCAACGAGATAAATAAAAAGAAAATAAATGAATAAAAATAAAAAGGACATTTCATTTCCGTAGTATTTTAATTGTTTCCTAAAATAAAATAACATTCCTTTTCGTTTGAGGTATATGTCAATTCGTCAGGTCCGACATTTAAACTCTCGTATATCCCAATTTGTTATCCTAAAAAAAAAATGGTTAGATCCTAAATTGAGTTTGTATAAGTTCGAGATTGTGAAGTCAAACTAGCATTTATGTCGATTTAAGAAGGATATCTTTATTACTTTTGCAAATTACACACTCAAAAGGATTAAATTTAGTCTCATGCTAATATGGGCCTAAACTATTGAATTTGGTGATGATTATTTAAGATGTATATGTGAATTGTGTGCATTGTGACAGTCAACCTAAGCGTGACTAAAAAAAATTGTGTATTATAGCATTTAATCTCTTTGACCTAGACAACGTATTAACTTAAAAATTGTGAAGGTATATATTATGAACATGTTCATGTGATAATTTTTTCTCTCCTTATATCTTCTCATCGACAGTCACAATATGCATGGAAAATTGGACCAAATCAATACATTAATACTTATTACATTAGATTAAAAACATAAATATCAAAATAATGTTTACTAGAAAAAAGAACTTAATTTTTAATAGATAAAATTATTATAAAAAAACCAATCCATAATTTTCACTTTATTAATTAAGTCACAATCTAATCTGCAAGCCCATTTAAAATTCTAACCAACCAACCAGTTATATATCCAATATTGTGCAACCATCACTCAATTCTAAGCAATTCAAGCCTCATGAATAGTTTGTCTCACAGTAGGCCAGGCCTGTCACCTCTTCATGTACAATTATTTGGGACCACAAAATTTTAAAACCGATTATCAAAACTAAGTCCTCTTTTTAATTAAGAAAGTTATTAGATTTATATTAAAATAAAGTATTTGTTATGTTTTGTGTTACCCTGTTACCTGCAAGACCCCTCCACAATGATATAATATTGTCTATTTCGGACATAAACACTACTCGTGACTTTGTTTTCTATTTTACGCCACTTAAAATATCTTGTATCAATAAAGATGTTATTGTACCTCACTTCTATACACATGATCTTCTACTCAACTAATCAATATGAGACTTTGATCGCGTTTCTAAACATTAAGTTTGATTATCTCGACAAACAATATCAATATTAAAGTGAGGCGGAAAATAATATTAGAGTTATTACAAATTGAATCAAAGAGAATTAACAACCCAACTTAAAATTATATTAAAAATTTTGAGCACAAGATGACCCCATCATGTAACTATATTTTATGGCTAGACAATTGGCTGATACTGTTATGGAGTTTGAGCACAGAGTCTCTTATTACATCATTATTATATTGAGTCACTATAAAACAATTTTTTTTTAAGCTAATAGGTGGTATATTTAATCATTTTATGCTTAAGGGTGGATACACAAATAAAAAGTAAAAAAAATAAAATAGTTGGATAAATTTCAAACAAAGAATTTTTGAGTGTGCACTTTAGTTTTTCCTTATTGTCCAACTCGAGAGCAGACAGTTAATATTCTATTTATGGTTCAAGAACGAGTGCTTTTATTTTTTCAAGGTACGTAAGAAGGAGTTAGAGAAACAAAATCTACAGCGAGCTAACTTTTTTTGTATTCTTTAATCAGTGCGTTATAATTTTCTATTGTTTCATTGGTAGTCTAACTAGAAGTGCAAAACTTATTCTAAAGTTTGAAAGGAGAAAAATAAGCTTCGATGTGATTTTAGTTAAAGCCCTAAATTGGAAAATGATGAACGTGATAATTACAAAAATGATGATGTTAAGACCTACTAATTTCATCCTAATCCTTTTATCTCTATATGAAATTATACTTAGAACATGACAGAAGCAAATGTTGGTCATTTTTAACGGTGAACACACAAATTAAAAGTAAGAAATAAAATAGTCTTACAACTTTTGAACGAATCATTCTTTAATGTACACTTTAGTCTTCCTTACTATCTAGTTTCGAGAGCGAACAAACTAATGCATTCTTTTTATAGTTTAAGAATTTGTGTGTAAGAAAAGATGACTATTTCACGAATCTAAGATAATTTCAAGAATTAAAAGGTAAAACTCGTTTCCCAAAGTTTGAAAAAAGAAAAATAACGTTAAAATGAGATTTTAGTTGAGGTCCTAAATTAGAAAATCAACATGATAATTACAAAAAAAAAAAACAATAAGACAAAAGATGATGCTAAGACCTACTCATTTCCACCAAGTCATTTTATCTCTATATGAAATTGATACTTGAACATGACAAAAGAAAAATTAGGTCATTTGGAGAGAAGTCAACAAAACAAAGCCTTTTTTCCCACCATTTATTTGGGAGGAAAAAGGGGGAAAATGTGGAGGTGAATGAGGTGGGAAATATCTTTATTGTGGCCTACAACTTTTTTGTGGCTGTAAAAACTCCAAATTAAGCTTTTAAAATAATATTAAGTTGAAGTTGTTATTAATATATTATTACTATTTTTTTATAATTAAAGTGATGAGTGTTCTATAATTTTCATTCCTCTTTTGGATAGAACTTTGAAAATTTTGTCAAATTGTGATGTGTACTATAGGGTACTCTCTTGATTTTGCCAAAACATGTGGGGGAAGATGAACAAATTAACAATTCAGAGAAAGAGAGGAGAGAGAGAGAAAAAAGAGATATTCTTGATAGAACAAAATCAAATTTTTATTGTTTTGTATGTGTTTTTTTAATCTTATTTTATTTTCTAATCTTTTATCAAAGTTGTGAAAATTTTAATGGCATCTTGACTTAGAATATAAGTTTATATGGTGCAACAATTCAAAATTTTAGGAGTAAGGAATCAAAATAAACTAATTTTTTTTCTTTTAAGTCTTAGGATAGGGAAATATCAAACATTAAAGCATATCACTAAAAGTTTAAGACCAAAATATATAAAATTTGAATATGTTTCTTTTTTTATCAACGAGTATAGAGCTCAATGGTTAAGACACTTATACGTGATCAGAGGTTATGAGTTCACCCTTCCGTGCACTTGCCTTAGGCGAGGCCGATCCCACAGCTAAGATAGTCGCTCCAGAGGTCGCGCAGCAGCTTCCGGCTTCGCCCGCGAATCCTGCCAGTTCCTGGGGCCGTCCAACCCCTATCAAAACCCCAATCAATAACCGGGGCGGCTCAAGAGGAGCTGCCGGAGGCGCCAGCACCGGCGGAAGTTCCGCACCCCGATCCCCTGATACACTTCGAAGGGAAATTCACACGTTAGTAACGCAGCAACTACATGAAGAGTGTGAATTAAATATCATTTAGACAACTTCTTATTAATAAATATGAAATAAATCTTATTAAATAAATCGCTAATATATATGCGTTAATCAATTGAATTAAACATATAATTTTAATTTTTTTTTTCTCAAAACCAAAGACAACCGCAACCTAAACATGACACATTTGATTTGAAATATCATCTCACAGCCAAAACCACTCATAATAATGAATTATATGGGTTGGTCGTCTTTTCTTTGAGAAGGGAGGACCTACCTTTATAAATATTTGCCTTCATTATTATGCTTGTTTCCCCTCTCCCTCACTCACTTAATTTAAAGATAGAAACCCTAATCTCAAGAATTCTTTCTTGGGTGGAATAAAACAATCACATTCACAAAATTAAACACTGCCATTCTAGAAAATTTCCCACTATACTTTATTTTACCCATTTCTTCATATTGTCTCTTCCCATAATCCAAGTAAAAAAAATTGCCTTTCACCTAACTTAAATTCACATCATCACCTAAAAACTCATCCTTTCCCACACATTACAACAAAAATCAATCTCATACATTTCAATTTGCACTTCAATTCAATTCACTAATTAATACAAACAATAACCCAATTTTTCTCTCTCTAATTTACTCTTTTAACGGGATAGAAAATAGAATTTAACAATATATTAACGATAATATATGTCTTAAACTTTTATCTTCCTTTGATTTATTCTTTTAACGGGATAGAAGATATGATAATATATGTCTTAATTAGTGTGACGTTACACTGTTTTACTCATTTTCATATATGGTTTCTTTAATAAAATGGGCTAAAAATTCATATTTTTTCCATCCATTACAACAGAACAACCTTATAAATTTCAATTTTTAATTCAATTCACTCTCTATAATCGAAATAGATTTATGTAGAGTAGAGATTCAGGTATAAATATACCGGAGTTCATTTCCACCATTTTTGTCCAAACTTTTACATTAAAAAAAAATGATTCTCTGTACAAAGAACCCCAAAATAACCATGTCATCAGTCAAATTTCCCTCGAAAATCCAATCATCTAATCGCCTATGCAGGCAAAAAAAAAAAAAAAAAGAAAATAATTTTCACATAGTCGAGGTAATTTCATTTCCGCGGTTAGTTTTTTCAAGATCGGAAACCTCCATAGCCACCGGAGCTCGATGGGCGAAGCAGTAGCAGCAGAAAGAAAAAAAGAAATCGGGATTAATTTTGACGATCATCGCCATTTATTTCACCGATCAATTCCTCTGGATTTATCTTGAGAGTCCTTAACTCCGTTGAGGTAAACTTTGACGTGGACGGCGTTGAATGGGTTGGTGGCCGGGTTGCCGCCGTTCTCCTCGAAGGCGACGCGGAGGCGGCGGATGAGGGCGTCGAGGCTTGTCCAGGGCTGGCGGGCCGGGCAGGGGCAGCCATCGGGGTCGGCGGTCGGGTAGCGGCGGCCGAAGTTGGGGCAGGGGGCGGCGTGGAATTTGGTCTGCCCGAAGTCGTCGAGGTAGGAGAGGAACTCGACGACATTCTCGCCGCTGCAGCGGGCGAGGCTCAGCGCCGGCCAGCGGTTGCGGAGGTACTGCCGGAAGTTGTTCCAGTCGCGCCGCTTCTGGGACTCGTAGCGGCTCATCAATGGCGGCGGCCGGACAGGGCAGAACTGGCGGGGATGCCCGAAGTAGAAGCCGTCGGGGACAGATCCATTGGTGGTGGTGGTGGTGGTGGAACTGCGGCGGGTCAGAGCGGCGGCGGCGGCGGCGGCGACGGCGGCTGACATGGCAGAAATTGGAAAATTGGGGATTAATTGGGGAAATTTTTTAGAGAATTTTTTGGGTTTTTATTTTAAAGAAAAAAAAAACAGAGGATTTTTTTGATGATGGAAGAGAAGGGGGGAGAGAATATAAAGGGGGAATGGAGGGGGAGGTGGAAGACAGATGGGAAAGGGAAAGGGCGTGGAAGAGTGGGGCCCACTGGGAGACAGAGGTGGGCCCCACAGCATTGACAGCCACGTCATGGATTGAGTGTCCATTTTTTCAGTATCATATCACGTCACTCGTACTTGTGGATAAACCAACATTATTGTTTTTGTTACGCCAAGTAATTTTTTCTTTGGTGGAATAAAATAAAATGTCATATGGTGTGAGTGAAATTAATATAAGAATAAGATCAATATAATTAATATAAGAATAAGATCAATATAAGTTAAATTTATATCATAGTTCGGTCTAATAAGCTTCTGATTTATTATTATTATTATTATTATTATTATTATTATTTGGTTGGGGAGGTATCTAATATGTTATTGAACCAAATTTTTTAATTTTGTTTCAATGAGATTACTAATTTTAATAGACATTTCTTGCTTTCAAAGACCTCGATTTTCTATTTAAATTTTTGAATTTTAAAATACGTCGTTGTTATGGATAGGAAAAAGTAATAGTTTCTCGCATTTTGAATTTCTTTTATCTAAGGAATTGGAATTGTCCTTATCTAAATAATTTGAATTTTTTTTTTAAGAAATCCAAAAAGATAAGATATTCTTTTTCTTTTAAGAAAAAAATATAAGATATTCTATTGACCCTATGTTGATATGTTTTACATAAATTTAATTATGACTTAAACATTAGAGTGTGTGTCTAACGTGTATGCAATATTTCTATTTTGCAAGTTTAATTGAATTCTTTTATTACGAAAGAGCGGGACAAATCTAATGATTTTTATAGGTTAAATTTATGCCTCACCTAAGTTGGACTGTAATGATGGTTTTATTTTTGTGGGATGTTTATAACTAAATTTATGTGTTTATATTGGATTTGGAGGCTCGTGAAATTGGGATTTTTTACTAGAATAACTTTTGAGTCGGAATTTTGACTCATTCTTAAAATCACCATATTTTTTTAAAGCGCTTGGCTATTGTATAAAGACTAGAATATCTTCGTGTAAACAAAATCATCTCCTCCGATCACTTCCATCGAATGATTCACTTCCTTCATAATCAATCGAATGTGATTGCAAAATCTCACTGGTGATGACGAAAGTACATCAAGCTCGTCGTCTTTCCTCATCTCGCAATCACCCTCACCAATTCCTCATTCGCCACACCCACTAGCTTTTTCGTTCTCCACTGCCTTAGTCCACCACTGTCGATTGTGGCCTCGCCTTCACAATTGTATAGTTGAAAAATCTCAGCCCCTCAACACTTCAGCGTCGTTGAGTTCATCACCATTCAAGATTTCGAGTTAAAAGCCAGAAATTCATATCATCTAGGTTGAAATGGCATGAAAGACCAAGATTCGTGTATAAAATTACATTATAATTTTTCATACATATTAAAAATAAAATTAAATTCATGATTAATTCACTTATAATTTTCATATATACTAAATAAAGTTTAAAATCCACAATTAATTTCCTCTTATTTAGTTTCCAACGGGCCTCCATTCCCCAAATTAGTTAAAGAACGTGTGAGTATTTTGATAATCAAACATTTACCGAGAGTAAAAAATGGTAAAAAAAAAAAAAATACTACATATTTAAAAATGGGTAAAAAATCCAAGGGTCGAAAATCTCAATTTTTCTAGATGCTTCTTGCTTGATTTTTGCTATATGTTCAGTAATTTTGATGGAATAAAGAATTTACATATCAAGTTGGGGTAAATTTTGAAATTTTGTTTTTCTAAAATTAAAATATTTGAAAAATTGACATTTGCTCTTCCCTGCTTTATTGCGCCTTGTACGATTCTGAGATGAATAATGCAATGCCCGAATAAAAAGTTGACGTGACATTTTTATTTTGGACATTTATTTTCTGTTATAAGATAATCTTTTTTAATTGGATTAGTTAGGCCATTGTCATTTCCCTTTTTCTTTTTGGGAATTTCAAAAAATTAAAAAGAAAAAAACAATTGGGTATTTTTCTAAAAGTTCCAAAATTCTCTCTCTTATTAGATTACTTCCATTATTAAATTAAATTCCATTCCTCACGCTCTCAATTATTTAATTCCCACATATTTGAATATGCCATATGCTCAATAATTACATCTTTTCAAATTAACTTGCTTTAATCATATCCAATCTTATTATCATAAAAAAAAAATCATATAATCAAAATACTTCGTTTGGAGATTTGGTCTAGTTACCTTACATTATTATATATAGTTTTATATGTGTTAGTTCTATTAACCATTCATATTTCTGATGTTTCATTTAACAAAGATTATCAATGTAATTTGTATCTTCATTTTTAAGAATACTTATTAGTTATTTTTTAGATCCAAGTTGTTAGAAACGGAGTAAAACCGTTTTATTTTTATAGGCAAATAATACAACAAGTTTTGTTAATTAAAAAAAAACTTTCAAATATATCAAATTAATTTTCTCTCCGAGTTCGATAATTTTAGTTTATGTATGATTTTATGGATGAAATTACTGTACTAATTAAGATTCACTTGAAGTGAGGCTAATGAAACGACGTGTATCAAGCTTACCCAATCGGACGATCCGATCAAGGTCGGGCCATCTGAGCAAGTCAAGTTAAGGTACATTATGCAATTCTACTTTTGACTATTCTCAACTAAACTTTTGTCTGATTTGGACACCATAATACCACATCAGAATACAGATCTATTATATGTACAGGTGTTCGTCGGAGTATTTGATGTCGGAGTTCGAATCTAAATTCTGCATCTAACACATGACATGTTACGACATTTCAGATATTATTTTAAATTTATGATTGAAGCGAGATTGAAAAATATATTCATTGTCCAAACTTTAAAATATCTTCTTCTAAAAAATATTCATTTTGACCCACATTCTCTTGAATAAAAGAATTAATTCTCTAGTCCATTCATACACTATTTCCAAGTTAATCTTTTGTCATCCTTAAACATGCATCGTACAAAACGAATAAAAAAAAGTTAAAATCTTTCCCCGAATTAGTATTATTTTTATAGTTTAATTAAAAAAATTTTAGTCAAATTTTCTATATTTACTTTGTTTTGAAATATTGTGTTTTGTTTCAAATTTTTGTGTAAAAATTTAGTTTAATTTCTTAGTTAACAAAGGAGTTATCTTTTTTTTTTTTCCTCGAGTAATAAAGTTTTCTTTATTTTTTAAAATTATTTTCACTCATTTCGACTATTGAATTTTTTTTTAAGTTAAACATAAGGCTGATAATTTGAATCTCCAATTTTTTAGTCGATCAATGTTATGAGCAGAAATTTCATTGTCCTTATCTAAGGAATTCCAATTGTCATTATCTAAGGAATTTGAATTATCCTTAAGAATTTGAATTTGCTTCGTCTAAAGAATTCAAAATAAGAAAATATTCTATTTACCCTAGTTTTCTCCTCTATAAATAAAGGGTAAAGACTTATAACTTTAAGTACCACTAGCATCATAGTGTGTAAGACTGGAGCAAATTTGATAATTCTAATAAACCAAATTTATGCATCAATAATATATGTTTTATTTAGTTGAGTTATGACTCAAATGGACACCATATTAATTAAACTTTAGTCATATATTTTTTTCAAAATTTTAATTTATTCTCGTACCATAAGTTATTAATTATATGTGGTGATACTAATTGACCTAAATTTTTTAGTTAAACTAATATACAAATTATTCCTAACTATTTGTTGCAATATCGCTGTTTGACCGTTTTAAAAGTTTCAATTTTACGCTCAATTTTTAATTTGTTAGCCATTTTTGTTATAATTGAAACCTTTAAATGCTATGCATAAATTAAAACTTTAATTTTTTTTTTTTTTGCTTAAGAAAAGTTAAGTTTTTTAAATAATAAGGAACATATTTAAAAGGTAAAAAATGGAGATATATCAATATGGATATTTAATTTACTTTATTGTAGCTGGCGCCACCACCACCAACCCTTTTAGTTTTCCTTATTAAAAAAAAAAAGGTTTTCTCTCTCCTCTTTTCTCCCATTGGGACGACAAATATACTATAGTTGGAGAAAGAGAAAAATACATAAAGTGGGAAACCAAAAAATTAAAAATAAAAATTCCTCCTTTCCAAAAAATAAAAAAAATAAAAAAAAAATTCCTCACCACTTTTCATTAAAGTGTACCTAAATTTACTATTTATTTTGAATATCAAATAATGCTTTTCAGACTTTTTTATTATTATTATTATATATATATATATTCATAAATGTCGTATTTGATTATTACTAATAAATCTTTGAGATAGATCTCTTCGAATAATTCTTTGATGCTAAATTCATGATATAGTCAGTTGAAATATCCCTAGATAGAGTTGTAATTTATATTTAGAGGTGGGTAGTAATTTATAGGCTAACTCTTAGCATAACACAATGGTTAAAGTATATCTCTGCCTAGTACTCTAAAGAGTCGTAATTAAGTTCGAATCTTCCCTCTGTATTTTTATGGTGTAATATTCTAAAAAGAGCACTATTTGGTTGAAAATGTTATATGATGTTCGTACATCTGAATAAAAGATTTTCCAACACCCTATTTAAAACAAGTTCGAGTAAGATCCAAGCCGATCTTTCGAGAACCCTAACCATGATCCACGTATTACTCCCACCTCAACGGCTCAGAATGAGTGAAATTGACGTGACAAATAAGTATCATAGAGGTGGAATTGGAAGGGGAAGTAAATGAGAGAGTGTTTGTTTGTTATTAAAAAAGACATTTGAGTCCAAAAGAAAGCAAGAAAAAGAAAAATTGGTGGCACCATTAATGGAGTTTGAAGAGGTGTGAAGAGATGGTGTACTGTGGTTTGATTGGGATATTTGGAAAGGGTTATGTAACACCATTGGTGGCCACAATTCCAAGCCCACTTAGGTATCATTGAGAGGATCATATTTCATGTGAAAGTG